TAATTTTGCATACTATACACGTCAATGACACAGGTCTATAGTTTAGTGCCTCTTTTCTGTCTCCTTTTTTAAAAATGGGAACTACATTTGCCGTCTTCCATACCTCAGGTAGTTGCCCAGTTTCCAGGGATGTGTTGAAGATTGTGGTAAGTGGCATGCACAACATATCTGCTCCCTCTCTAAGGACCCACGGGGAGATGTTGTGCGGTCCCATTGCCTTTGAGGTATCGATGTCCCTTAGCAGTTTCTTCACCTCCTCCTAATCTGTATGTATGTCGTCCAACACTTGTTGGTGTATTCCTTGCTGGTGTCCCCATCTGGTCTGTCCCCCCAGAGTCCTTCCTGTCTCTACTGTAAATACTTCCTTAAATCTCGTGTTGAGCTCCTCACATACCTCTTGATCGTTTCTTGTGAGTTCTCCACCTTCTTTCCTCAGCCTTATCACCTGGCCCTTGACTGTTGTCTTCCTCCTAATGTGGTTTATACAGCAGTTTCGGGTCAGATTTGACTTTCGATGCTATGTCGTTTTCATACTGTCGCTGGGCCTCCCTCCTTATCTGCGCATACTCGTTTCTGGCTCTTCTACTAATCTCCTTGTTTTCCTGGGTCCTATGCCTCCTGTACCTTTTCCATTCTCTGTTGCACTTAGTTTTTGCCTCCCTCACCTTCGGGTAAACCAAGGACTCGTTTTGGTCTTCCTATTATTTCTGTTTCCCTTGGGAACAAAACTTTCCTCTGCCTCCTTGCACTTTGTTGCCACATATTCCATCATCTCGTTTACTGATTTTCCTACCATTTCTCTGTCCCACTGAACCTCCTGCAGGAAGTTTCTCATACCTGTGTAGTCCCCCCTTTTATAGTTTGGCCTGTCCCCTTCAGTTCCTGTTACCTTCTCCACTTGTAACTCTACTATATAGTCAAAACTCAGAACCACATGATCGCTAGCTCCAAGGGGCCTCTCGTAAGTGATGTCCTCAATGTCTGAACTGCTCAGGGTGAACACAAGATCCAGTCTTGCTGGCTCATCCTCCCCTCTCTCTCTGGTTGTGTCCCTGACTATGTTGATGCATGAGTTTTCAAGTACCACATCCATCATCTTGGCTCTCCATGTTTCGGGACCCCATGTGGCTCCAGGTTTTCCCAGTCGATCTCCCTGTGGTTGAAATCGCCCATTACCAGTAACTTTGCTCTGCTCGAGTGAGCTCTTCTTGCCACCTAGCCAGTGTGTCCACCATCACCCTGTTGTTTTCTTCGTACTCCTCTCTTGGCCTCCTGCAGTTCTGTGGTGGGTTATACATCACTCCAATGACTACTTTATGTTCTCCGGACTGAATTGTACCTACAATGTAGTCTCTTTCTCCAATCATGTCCATGCCTTCCATTTCCTCAAATCCCATCTGTGTTTTATGAGCAGTGCAACCCCTCCTCCCCTCTACTCCTTCTATCTTTCCTCAGGATCTGATATCCTGTTGGGAAGATTGTGTCTGTTATTGTCTCAGCGAGTTTTGTTTCTGTGACTGCTATGATGTCTGGGGATTTTTCACTGATTCTTTCATTCCACTCCTCATGTTTATTCGTTATTCCATCCGCGTTTGTGTACCAAACCTTTAGTTTCTTTCTATCATTGTGGTCATGCAAGAATATTGGGGTTGGGGGAGCGAGAGCCTTGGTGGGGGCCTATATGGGGCTGTGGTGTAGGTGGGGTTTGTGTTGATGGGGGTGGGGTCAGAATGCCCATAAGGGACAGCTGTTGGGGTGAGGTTTGTGATATGGGGGTTGGTGGCAGAGGGAACAGTGAGTGGGTTGTAGTATAGGTTGCTCAGTTGCGTTGGGAATGTCGTGGGTGGAGTCTTTGGTGGGAGATTCTGTGGGGTGTGTTTGCCCTTCCTCCTGTGTCTGGGTCCTGCTCATTTTCATTGCTTCTCGTTCCTCCTTGCGTCTCTGTACCCTCTCTTTCAGTGTAGTCCTTTCTTCTTGTGTTCTGTCGCGGTCGAGGTATACTCTCTGGTACCCCTCTTTGTCCCTCAGTCTTGCTTTCTCTTGCAGAATCCTGGTTCGAACTGATTCTTCCTTGAAAGTTACTCTGACAGGCCGTATCCTTCCACTCGCAAACCACCCAATTCTCTGAAAATTTGACACCTGGGTCATATTGCCCTCCCCTATTGTTTTCATGATGCCTTCAATCATTTTTTTCTCCTCCTGTTTTATTTCTTCAAAGTTGGCCCCCTTGGCTTCTTGGAGCCCATACACAAAAACTGACCTCGCCCTTTCCTCCTCCCACTGAGTCTCCATCTGCTTCCTCTGAGGCATTTTATTTCCTTCCATTGACATGTTCTTGCCTTCAGTCCCTGTGTGTGTGTGTGTGTGTGTGTGTGTGTGTGTGAGTGTCAGGGTCAGTGTCAGTGTGTGTGTGTGTGTACTCACCTATTTGTGGTTGCAGGGGTCGAGTCTTAGCTCCTGTGTGTGTGTGTGTATGTACTCACCTATTTGTGGTTGCAGGGGTCGAGTCCTAGCTCCTGGCCGTGTGTGGGTGTGTGTGTGTGTGAGTGTCAGGGTCAGTGTCAGTGTCAGTGAGTGTGTGTGTGTGTGTGTGTGTGTGTGTGTGTGTGTGTGTGTGTTGTGTGTGTGTGTGTGTGTGTGTGTGTGTGTGTGTGTGTGTGTGTGTGAGTGTAGGTCAGGGTCAGTGTCAGTGAGTGTGTGTGTGTGTGGTGTGTGTGTGTGTGAGTGTCAGGGTCAGTGTCAGTGTCAGTGTCAGTGTCAGTGTCAGTGTGTGTGTGTGTGTGTGTGTGTGTGTGTGTGTGTGTGTGTGTGTGTGTGTGTGTGTGTGTGTGGTGTGTGTGTGTGTGTGTGTGTGTGTGACTCAACAATCAATATTTGCACCAATAACTCATTACAGTTGTGACCGGGTGTGGAAGTGTGAATTGCTCATAACACTATAATTTGTTCATGATTGTAGCCATGTATAAACGTAAGTAACCATTCTTACAGTATTCATTACCTTTGTAACTTGTGAGCTCATTGCCTTTGTACCTAGTTCAGCTATCAAAACTTTGGGGGTTCAGTCCCTGGACCCATTACGTACCTCTGCAATCTGTAAATACCTTTGTAACTTGTCATGATTGTGACCAGACCTACCTGGAGTTCATTACCTTTGTAAATTGTGAGTTCATTACCTCAGTAACTTGCTCATTTATCAAAACTTTGGAGTCCAGTCCCTGGACCAGTTATGTACCTCTGTAATCTTTTGACTACCGCCCACAGGATGGGTATGGGGTGCATAATAAACATGTTAAACTAACAACAACGATCTCCAGTGACCACCAATGAAATTGGGTTAAGTGGTGGTCTTATCATGTTGATACATGTAACCCTTCTTCTAGTCGGTCCAGTTTATACATACAGTCCAGAACTAATTAGTAGCGCCGTACTTGTGGGTGCTATCCACATCTAAGTTATGGTCCTGGCCCAGGGTAGATATGCCAAGTGCATGTGGCATCAGAGGGAGTAACTGGCCAGAAGTTCCCAGAAGTGACTCAAGTTTTCCCAGACGCTGCCCCGGGGTAACTACTGTGAACAATATATGATTGTCACCTCCCAATGAGATAATTTGTATTAATGTAATGACGAAGTTCATACAGTTAACCTTAAAAATTTCCACAATTATTATTATTATTATTATTATTATTATTATTATTATTATTATTATTATTATTATTATTATTATTATTATTAATGCTCATAAATGCTAGTAGCGTTTTTGTGTTTAACAATATTTTACTACATGTAAACGACACATTGTATTAATATTATGCAAAGAAATAAATTTTTGAATTTTGAAATTTAATTGAATTATTATTATTCCTAAATGTTTAACTAAATAAAAGGTTAACCCAAAAAGTCACGTTATATAAAACATTGTGGAGAATAATCTTTCAAAGAGCAGATTATTCTTTATAATGTAAATATAACACGAGTGAGTTAATGTTTGTTGGTGAAGTTGATTTTGTTTGTTGATTACTTTTTATTGAATTTTGTTCTGGCTTATTAATTTTTTTTATTTGTTTGTTGTTCTTACTTTGATTGTTTTTTGTATGTTTAGTAAGTTTATTTATACACAGTTACACATAAGTAGAATTATCATAGCATCAATTACCTAGGATAACTTCCCAAAAAATGTTAAACAAAATGACTTATTTCCATCAGTACATCTTTACTGTTGCAACGTTTCGCCCAACTGTTGCACATGTGGTCATACTTATCAACTTGTCTGTATTATATCATTAACGTACCATTTTCACGCTTATCATTTCTGGTGTTTGTGAGTTATGATAGTGAGGGAGGCGGTGCTGCTCACTGCTCTACCAACAACAACAACCTGGCAGTAAGGAAGCTTATTTATGTACAGGTACATATAAATACACTTACACAAAATATCCTGCATATTAACGTGTAAATTATGTAGCATAAACCCGAAAGAGGTCAGATAAAGTAATTTATTTCCATTGTGGCCCTTGGAAGGTTGCACGTATCCTGTAATAATAATAATATCTTTATTTACTACAAGTACATGTACAAGGTACAGTTCTAGCTGACATCAATGACATACTACTATATAGAAACTCTCTTGTTATGCTGAGCATTAAGCAAATTAGGTCAGTTTTGTCCCAGGATGCGGCCCACACCAGTTAACTAACACTCAGGTATGTATTTTTACCGGTGGGTGAACATGGACAGCAGGTGTCTTATAGAAACCCGACCTAATGTTATCCACCCGTACCAGGGATCGATCCCCGGATCAGTGTGTGAGGTGAATGCTCCAGCAATCGAGCTACAGGATACTGGATGTACCTTGAGACTACACTCTGACTGAGACACCAGACACCATAGAAACTCCATATATTATGAAAACTATATAAAGTACTCTATATTGTGAGGTTAGTAAGAATTTTAAGTCAGTGCATAAGTATTCACAATATGCTAAAAGGAATCTTGGCTTCATATCAAGAAGTATACATAATACCAGCCCTAAGGTTATACTGCAGCTTCATGTCTTTGGTTATTTCTCACTTAGATTTTTCTATTTTGTTCTGGTCTCCATATTATAGGATGAACACGAATATAATGGATAATATACAAAGAAGAATGAAATTGAGCCCATGTATCAGAAATCTTTCTTATGAAGATAGTCTGAAGGTACTGAACTTAGTCTGGCAAAACGTAGTATTAATAACGGGATATGAGTTATGTGTACAAATGGTTAGTCTAGTTAGCCGGACTTGAGTCCTGGAGGTGGAAATACAGTGCCTGCACTCTGAAGGAAGGGTGGAGATATTTGCAGTTTTGTATAGAAGTATCAGCATCCCTCTGGCAAGACAGTGATGGAGTGAGTGATGGTGAAGGTGTTTCTTCGTTTTTGGGTCACCCTACCTTGGTATGTATATATACATACATATGTGCATACATATATTCGTACATACATTATATTATATACATAGACTTCTGTAAATAAAACTTATTTTGTCTTTTATTAGGATAAATCTTCAAGCAAACTATTCGTACTGTAGAGGAGAGATTAAAGAGGAAAGAAAATTATGCTAAACTGTACATGAAATACAATAGAAAAATACTCGTGCAGCAATTAGGAACAGATGAGTTTTTTAGGAGTTGCTCAAATCTACCCAAACATCCAATCTTCGTGAGAGCAAAATGATTTCTTCTGTGTCAAGCAAGCTGTCAGAAAAGCAGAAGAGCAATTTACTAGTGCTATCTCAGCTTTCAAATGATGTAAGTAAATCGAGGATATGTGAAGGTTGTTAGAGGTAAATCATTAGGCTAAAACTTTATTGCCAATCAGGTTATGGCCATCTGTTTTTAATTCATTGCCAGTGTCACCTACTGGCTGTCTGTTGATCCAAGCCCCTGCAAAGGGGTATGGTGTCTTGACAAAGGTGAACAGCTCATAATCCGGGAATTAAAGTTAACCTCCATTTCCTTAGATCAAACCCAATTGTCTCCCATTGCCAGGGTACTGTATAACCCCCACTGTGTTTAGCACTTCCCTATAAATATAATACTGGTAATAGTATACTTTGATCAAACATTAAAATTTAGTGTCACTAATTGTATTACTAAGTTTGTGGAAGTGTAGCAGCTGGCAGTGACCTAACCTATGTGCACTTGCCATAAAATTGTTAAATACAGATTTATACACTTCTAGACACTATTTTGTTGAAGTCAGTAGGTCGGCCATCACTAATCTGGCACCATTGGGACCTGTAGTATGCTGGATTAGTGAGTTTGCTGGATTACAGAGTGGTTAGGTTAGAATACACTTAATTACCCTATCAGTAGAGACTGTTTATGCTACATCTTCATTCTCATTACTGCTTTCTCTTCCACTGGCTTGCTGCTGTGGATTTACAACAATCTACACAATTTCTGAGTCAGTATAATGATGAAATTTAAGTCAGTATAATGATGAAATTTTAAATTATGCTAGCTGCAGTTAGTGCCAGATTACTGATGGAACCGGATAACTGATTGCCGGATTAGTGATGGCTGACCTGTACTATGAAGTCATACATGATAAATGACACAGCAAGACACTAGGTAACTTTTCAAATCCTGAGTGGTGCAAGGATGCAGAAAGGATGAACATATTACATTTCCATTGCTTAACCTAACTTAAACTTACCCAGTTAACCTTAACTTTAACCTCATCTAATTAACCTTAATTATTACCCAGTTTAATTCACCCTAACTTAACCTGATTTGTGTGGTGTTTTGGGAGAGCAGTGTATTCATCATCACCTATCACTGCAGCTGTGAGACACATACTCTCAGGTAAAGAGAGAATGGGGAAGTGGGGACAGATGAAGAAAATAGCACTGGAAACAGTGCCAGGGCTTAACCCAGCAGTGAATCACTTACGGCAAGAGACAAAGGCAGCATAGGCGAGAGCAGCACAGCAGGAGGTAGCCAGTGATGGTGATGACAGGCAAGTGCTGGAGCTCGGGAGGGTATTTTAGCAGGCAGTGGATTGTTGAACTGGAAACTGGTGGATTCATGGTTGAGGATCCATTCTTGAGTCTTCAGCATCATTTGGTAGGTGTTCTAGATCCAAGGGGATGTCATTATTGTTGATATGTCTCTTAATGAAATCAAGTACTACTTGGTTAGTTGAGGCAGCTTTTACTGTACCATTTCATGATCTTTTGTATAGCTCCTGGAGTACATGGTACTGCTATTTGAAGGTATGGTGTAGAAGCAGAGGTTTTTCTATTCAAGTCCGGGGATGTGGTCGTTGGCTTTTTTGTTCTCTAGGCTAGCGAAGATGGCTTCTTTAATTCTTTTCAATAGTGGGTAAGGGCTGGCAAAGACTTCAACCACTTCAGGAACAGAGATACCAGTTTGATTGATTTTGGATGTAATGTACTGTATATACATAATTATATAGTATCTTTGTAGGCACTTGAAGGGACTTGTGCTGCACTAAAACAATTTATCCATTCTTTATTCCTTACAAATAAGAGAACAATTTACTTCATATTTTGTACAGGTGAATCTAATGAAGCACTGCTGACAAATTTAAAATATAAGTGTGAGTAAGGTAACATTTGTGAAGGGATTCAGGAAAACCAGTTAGCCAGGCTTTAGTGCTGGAGGTGGGAAGTACAGTGCCTACACCCTGATGGTGAGGTGGAGATATGTTGCAGCTTTTGAACTGTAGTTTTGGAATTTCTACATGCCTCTTGCAAGACATTGATGGAGTGAGTGATGATGAAAGTGTTTCCTCTTTTTTGGGTCACCCTGCCTTAGTGGGAAAAGGCTGATGTGTTAAAAGAAAAAGTATTAATGACCTAAATTTATTGACTAAAAGAGAAGTGTTATCTTATTAACTATGATCAGCATTGGTGTGATCAACTTAAAATACTTCACATACTCTGTTGTCATATACAATATTTATATATATTATGTAAATACCTATTTGTGACTACTTGTAAGTATTTACAGTAACAGAAATAGTCTATGTTCATGGTGCCCCACCTTTCTATTTACATTTTAATTTTCCTCTGCTTTATACAAAAAAAAAAAAATAGAAATGTTAAAAATATTGATTATTTATTAGTTGGCAATATTTATTTCTTGTAACTTTTAAACTCACATTTTCTTATTACATACTGTATATTTGAAGGTAGGTTACAGGTCATTATTGTGTTTTCCAGAGCTTTCTGGCTGCTTGGGACTCCAGTCTGCAGCTTTTGAAAGAAAAAAAAAGACTAGCTAGAAAATGTCAGCCGTATTATATTGTGAATAATACCAAGAATGAAACAGTAAGTTTGCATTTTTGGGGGTAAATTTATTATTTAAAAAAATTCTCTAACCTGAATTAATCACTGGTTGCTGTTTGTGGGAATTCATGACACATTAAAATTGACATTTGCTGTGGAAACGGCATTAAAACTAGAAAAACATTATACAGTGGTCTCCGGATATCGGCCGGTGAGGATATTGGCTAAATCGGATTTCGGCCACTTTTTTGACTGAAATTCTATCCTGGATTTCGCTGGCAACTCGGAAATCAGCCGTATTGAACGCGTCCGCCCGCCACTCCACCACGTGCGTGAGTCAGTCCGGCTGTGTATCTCGGTGAGTGAGCAAAACACTGTGCATTCATCCAAATATTTCATTATAAGCCATTGTTTTTTGCGATTGTTTATTGAGTGCGACTGCAAAATAAGCCACCATGGGCCCAAAGAAAGTTCCTAGTGCCAGCCCTTTGGTAAAGAAAGTAAGAAACACAATAGAATTCAAGAAAGAAATTGTAGCAAAGTATGAAAGTGTGTGTGTGTGTGTGCTCCAGCTTGCCAGGATGTATGGCAAATCCAAATCAACAGTCACTTCCGTCATGGCAAAGAAAGTAGAAATCAAGGAAGCTAATGTTGAAAAAGGGGTAAATCATCATCTTTCAACACACCGGCTGTATCCCACCGAGGCGGGGTGGCCCAAAAGGAAAAACGAAAGTTTCTCTTTTTACATTTAGTAATATATACAGGAGAAGGGGTTACTAGCCCCTTGCTCCCGGCATTTTAGTCGCCTCTATCAACACGCATGGCTTACGGAGGAAGAATTGTGTTCCACTTTCCCATGGAGGTAAGAGGAAATAAACAAGAACAAGAACTAGAAAGAAAATAGAAGAAAACTCAAAGGGGTGTGTATATATATGCTTGTACATGCATGTGTAGTGTGACCTAAGTGTAAGTAGAAGTAGCAAGACGTACCTGAAATCTTGCATGTTAATGAGACAGAAAAAAGGCACACCAGCAATCCTACCATCATGTAAAACAATTACAGGCTTTCGTTTTACACTCACTTGGCAGGACGGTAGTACGTACCTCCCTGGACGGTTGCTGTCTACTAACCTACTACCTAGGTCATTTACTTATATTATAAGAAAAGAGAAAAGTAATGTTTCCTTATAACTTGACAACCTGATGTGATAGAGATGAATAAAAAATATAATGAATCACTATTTTACACATATATACTGTAAAAGATACCATAGAGTCAATAAAAAAAAATCATGCAGACCAGTGTAATTTATACGTTACAAGTACTGGATTGTCTGTCTATTAAACCATGCCACAGGTGGGGTTAGAATCCTCGATCAGAGAGTCACAAAACTCTAAACCAACGTGTTAGCCACTGGGCCAGCTAGCTACATGATACCAAGTTGGAGGAATCTTATTGTAGCTAGCTGGCCCACTGGCTAACACATCAGTCTGGAGTTTTGTGACTCTCTGATCGCGGGTTCTAACCCCACCTGTGATATGGTTTGTTTTCTATCATGTCATTACAATTTCATGAGTCTTGTCTGTCTATTGTTTTGAACCTGAGAGTACTTGCCTTATACTTTATCTTACTCTTCTTTCACTTTTTTTTTTTTTTTGATAACCTTAATGTTCACATTTCTGCATTAGTTAGAGGAAGAAATCTAGAAGATGCTGTGAGGCAACTTTCTTCCACTGTTTCAGCACATCTTGGCATCAATGAAGCCAGTACATTCATGTTGATTACCAGTATACGTATTATAAATGGTGAAGATCTCTTCATTTGTTGATCAACCAGGGTGTTGCTATGTGTAGCTTGCATGGCAACACAGCAAAATCATTGTGTCTGATTAGGTGATAACTACTGAATTAAACCTTTGTAAAGCATGTCATGATAATCAGATTGATTAGTATATCAGATTTTACTTACACAGTTTAAAAACAACTTGGAAAACTGCTTTAGTTAACACATTAATGGTGTCTTCCTATTTCTGGGCTTATTAGTTTTTATATCTGAGCCAGATTTTCTAGAATCAAGAAATTTATAGGAATTTATCTTCTTTATAAACCTTTTATGTCTAAGTGTTTGATAATGAAACTTGATTTACCTTAACAGGAATTGCAAGCTGAGATATTGTGCCAACTCCTTGAGTCACTAGTGCAAGAAACTGTCTCAGATGAGGATCTTGCATCTATTTTGACTTCTTCAGGCCTTCAGAAAGATCGAACTAATCTTTTTGTGTCACAGGTAAATATATCTAATTCAGAGATAATAGCTTACAATGCAATGACAGCAAATTGTAGGTGACACTTGCTGTCTAATTTAAAATATCAGAGCACAGTTTTTTAACTAACAGCTCAGGAAAAAGGCATTTATAATATGAATATATTAATGAAGATACTTCTGTTTTTTCTTTTGGGCCACCCTACCTCCGTGGGATACGGCTGGTACGTTGAAAGAAAGAAGATTAACCCTTAAACTGTCCAAAAGTAGATCTATGTTTTTTCAACATTTGAAAGTATGTAAAAAAACGTAGATCTTCTTTTGTTTTTTACTTTTGAAAACGTGTAAAAAAACTTTGATCTACATTTTTTTTTTTTTGTTATATTTGAAAATATGTAAAAAAACGTAGATCTACATTTTTTTTTTTTATAAGTGGACCCCGCATAACGTTACTCGATGTGACAATTATGTAAGTGTATTTTGTTAATGCTTTGTACGTGTTGTTTGGGTGTTGAATGGACTATCTACTTCACAATATTTCTATGGAACAAATCGGTCAGTACTGACTGAACATACTTCTGGGTTGAAAAATATCGTTACGGGGGTTCACTGTATTTGAAAATATGTAAAAAAACGTAGATCTACTTTTGGAGCACTACGCATGTGAATGTAGATCTGGTTGGACAGTTTAAGGGTTAATGAAGATAGGATACTATGAGCATATACCTGCTCCTTTAGCTACAATTAGGTAGTTACTTGATATTCCAATGGCCAATACTTTACATACCTATGAAATTGTTTATACATCTTATTAACTTTTCTCCACCAGAGAGGTAGGAGTCCAAAAAATTTAGTCATAATTTACTGCCTATCCTACCTCCAGGATTCATGTCCAGATAACAGGTTTCACTGAATCCCTACACTCCAACAGCACGTTCATTAAAAACTTTGTCTCCTTTCACTCCTGTCTAACACACTTACACCTGCTAGAAGCTAGATGCTCAAATCTCTAATACTCAGAGCCTTTTTTGCCCTTTCCATCCATTCTTGGAATGTCCCCTACCCCTCCTACCTTCCATTCCAGATTAATACATCTCTCTTTGTCACCCTATCCTTCTCTATCCTCTCTACATGCCTAAACCACCACAACCCCTCCTCAGCCCTCTGTGACCCTACATCACCTTTTAATGTCTGTATTCTGAATTCTCAGCATGAAATTCACACAACCTTTGCTCACAAACATGAGATTTCCTCTGCTTCTAGCCTCCTCCTTGTTGCATTGTACAAAATGCATGTGTTGGTACCACTATACTTTGATACATTATTTTGTCTCTATGATAAACTTTCCATAGAGGCCTGAACACACCTTCATCTGTACTATAGTTTACCTCATCCTTCATACACCCATCTACTAACATGTACACTCCCAAATATCTAAATACATGCACTTCCTCCATACTCCTTCCCTCCAGTCTGATATTCAGTCTCTTATTGCCTAGACTTTTTGTTATCCTCATCATCTAGCTCTTTTCAGTGTTCTTTTTTAATTTCTTTTATTATGTGCCCTCCCAAATTCATGCAACAATTTTTGCAAATTGACTTCAGAATCCCTCAAAAGAATTTGTGTCATCAGTAAAGAGAAACTGTGATAATTCCCACTTTGTGTCAGATCCAACATCTCTTAACCCTTTCGACTGTTTTGGCCGTATATATACGTCTTACAAGCCAGTGTTTCAGACATATATACTATACTCAATAATTCTAGTGGCTTCAAATCAAGCAGGAGAAAGCTGGTAGGCCCACATGTGAGAGAATGGGTTTGTGTGGTCAGTGTGCACTGTAGAAAAAAATCCTGCAGCATGGAGTGCGTAGTGAGAAACAAACTCCGACCGTGTTTTTGGATTAAAACGCCGACTTTGAAGTGCATTTTCCTATAGTATTTATGGTTGTATTATCGTTTTCTAGGTCTTATTTGATAGAATGGAAAACATATTATGGAAATAGAGATGATTTTGATTAGTTTCACAACGAAAACGACCTTGAAATTGAGCTCAAAGTAGTGGAAATGTTCAATTTTTACCAATGTTCTAGAGTAAGCAAATCACACCACACATCCAGTACACATCAACTGGGGAGTCTAATATTCTTTCACTAGTGCACTGATATTATTTATACAATTTTTACAATAATGCAGTAGTTTGCATAACAGTAAATCTATTTTTTTTTTTTTGTGAATAAAAAATCAAAATCGAAAGCAGGAGTAATATAAGAGGGGCCTGGAGATGTGACTAATGAACAGAGGATATGTTATTTTAGTGCCAAGAATGTTTGCATTGTTTATTCTGGACTCATGAAATTGGCATCTTTTTCAATTTGCATGAAATTGGCCAAATTGCCAATTTCTGACTACAGTGGTCCCCCGCTTTTCGTAGTTCCCGGCATTCGTAAATTTCGCCAATCATAGGGGTATTTTCGTATAAACATGGACTCGCTTTTCATAGGTTGACTCGCGAGTCGTAGTTCGTCCGGGACGCGTACCCACGGCGTGAGCCGGGGCGGCAGCCAGTCTGGCATTGTTTACCAGTGAGCGAAGGTCCCCTCACGTGTTCCAGCGAAATATTTCATAATATTCCATTTATTTTAGTGCTTGCAAGTACTAAATAAGTTACCATGGCTCCAAAGAAAGTTCTTAGTGCCAAGCCTGTGGTAAAGAAGGTGAGAAATACGATTGAATTTAAGAAAACCATCATTGAACAATATGAAAGTGGTACAAGTGTGGCCGAACTGTCCAGGATGTGTAAGAAACCCTACACAACCTTATGTTCCATAGTGGCCAAGAAAAAGGAAATTAAGGACACTGTTGTTGCAAAGGGAGTAACTATGCTGACAAAAATGAGATCACCAGTACTGGAAGAGGTTGAGAAGTTATTATTGGTGTGGATAAATGAGAAACAATTAGCAGGAGATACTCTTATGACTTCGATTGTTTGTGAAAAGGCTAGGCAGTTGCATGAAGATTTGGTAAAGAAATTGCCTGCAAATAGTGGTGATGTGAGTGAATTTAAGGCCAGCAAAGGCTGGTTTGAGAGATTTAAGAACCGTACTGGCATACACAGTGTGGTAAGGCATGGTGAGGCTGCCAGTTTGGACCACAAGGCGGCTGAAAAATATGTGCATGAATTCCAGGAGTACATAGGTGTTCAATTGTGACAAAACAGGCCTCTTTTGGAAAAAAATGCCAAAGAGGACCTTCATTACACAAGAGGAAAAGGCAATGCCAGGACACAAGCCTATGAAAGACAGGCTGACGCTAATGTTCTGTGCTAATGCTAGTGGGGATTTCAAAGTGAAGCCATTACTAGTGTACCATTCTGAAAATCCCAGAGTGTTCAGGAAAAAAAATTTATGAAGAGTAAATTGTGTGTGTTTTGGAAATCTAATAGTAAGGCATGGGTCATGAGGGAAATTTTCGTCGAGTGGTTCAGTGAAGTGTTTGGCCCTAGTGTGAAGGAGTATCTCCTGGAAAAGAAATTGGATCTCAAGTGCCTGCTAGTAATGGACAATGCACCTGCTCATCCTCCAAACTTGGATGACCTAATTTTCAAGGAGTTTGGGTTCATCACAGTAAAGTTCTTGCCCCCGAATATCACTCCTCTCCTCCAACCCATGGACCAGCAGGTTATTGCAAACTTTAAAAAACTCTACACAAAAGCAATGTTTCACAGGTGCTTGATTGTGACCACAGACACTCACTTGACTCTAAGGGAATTTTGGAGAGAACACTTCAGCATCCTCCACTGCATAACCCTTATAGGTATGGCTTGAGAGGGAGTGACTACCAGGACTTTGAACTCTACCTGGAGAAAATTGTGGCCAGATTGTGTCGACAAGAGAGATTTTGAAGGATTTGGGACTGACCCTAATGAGCCTATGTCTGTTGTAAAATCAATTGTGGCACTGGGGAGTTCCATGGGGTTGGATGTGAGTTTGAAGGATGTGGAAGAATTGGTGGAAGACCACAATGAAGAGCTCACCACTGAGGAGCTGCAAGAGCTTCAGCAGGAAGAGCAACACATCGCAGCTCAGAATCTTGCTGCAGAGGAGGAGGAAGAGAGATGGAAGAAGGTGCCTTCTTCCATCATCTCTTTTACTATGTGGGGTAAGATGGAAAGCTTTATGGAGAAACATCACCCTAACAAGGTTGTTGCAAGCCATGTTGGCAACATGTACAGTGACAAAGTCTTGGGCCATTTTAGGGAAGTGTTAAAGAGACGCCAGAAACAGAGCTCTCTGGACAGTTATTTTGCGAGACAGGACTCCAGTGACTCTCAAGGTGGTTCTAGTGGCATTAAGAAACAGAGAAGAGAAGCAACCCCAGAAAAGCAAATGGTACCTGAGGTGTTGATGGAAGGGGATTCCCCTTCCAAACTATAAACAATCCACTCTCTCCTCCTCCTCCTCCTCCTCCTCCAGTCTCCCATACACTAAGAAGAATCTCCAATAAAGGTAAGTGTTATGCTGTTAATGTTTCATTCATCATTTCCCATTGTATTGTTTATGTACTACATGTATATTTCATGTAAAAAAATTTTTTGTTTTAATACTTCTGGGTGTCAGGAACAGATTATTACATTATTTCTTATGGGGAAAATTGATTCGTAAATCGTAAATTTCGTTTATAGTAACGGCTCCAGGAACGGATTAATTACGAAAAACGAGGGACCACTGTACTTTATTGGGTAGTTGAAATCAGTAAATGGGTGGTTTCTTGTACGCAATTGGTAGAAAAAGTGGAGTTCTAAAGAAATAGCTATGAATTTGGTCAACTGGAACAATGGAATTGGCTGAAAATAGGGCTCAGTTGGTGAAATCACTGATGCGTATATATTGCTGAGACCGCTAACTTTGCAGGAGCGTAATTCCGTAAGTTTTCAATCAAATTTTGTACTTTTGGTGTCATTACCATTGGGAAAAGATTCTCTATCATTTCATAAGAAAAAATAATTTTTTTTTTTTTCCAAAAAATTTTCAACACCAGGAGACACTTCAGGATTTGGGGTTGCGACAGTCAAAGGGTTAATCCCACACCTTAGCAAATTCTGCTGAAAAATTTTATGGCAGATGTATCATACAAGCTTTCAAGGGTATGTGGTGAATTTACGTTTGTCAGCCTTAGTAATGTGTTTTATTCATATACAGTGGTTCCTCAGTTATCGTCCATAATCCGTTCCTGGAAGTGGGACTATTATCGAAATAGATGATTTTCGAATCAATTCTCCCCATAAGAAATAATGTAAATACAATTAATCCGTTCCTGACACCCAGAAGTATTAAAACAAAAAAATTTTTTACATGAAATATAGATGTAGTACATAAACAATACAATGGAACATGATGAATGAAACATTAACAGCATAACACTTGCCTTTATTGGCGATTCTTCTTAGTGTATGGAAGACTGGAGGAGGAGAGAGCTTGGATTAGTTGCTGTTTGGAAGGAGAATCCCCTTCCATCAACACCTCAGGTACCAAGTCCTTTTCTGGGTTTACTTCTCTTCTCTGTTTCTAAATGCCACTAGGACCAGCTTGAGAGTCACTGGAGTCATGTCTTGCAAAAAAACTGTCCAGAGAGCTCTGTTTCTGGCATCTCTTTAAAACTTCCCTAAAATGGGCCAAGACTCTGTCACTGTACAAGTTGCCGATATGGCTTGCAACATCTTTCTCAGGGTGATGTTTCTCCATAAATCTTTCCATCCTACCCCACATTTCAAAAATATCCTTAATTTCTGAAGAAGGCACCTTCTTCCATCTCTCTTTCTCCTCCTCTGCAGCAAGATTCTGAGCTGCGATCTGTTGCTCCTCCTGCTGAAGCTCTTGCAGCTCCTCAGTGGTTAGCTCTTTGTTGTGGTCCTCCACCAACTCTTCCACATCCTCCAAACTCACATCCAACCCTATGGAACTCCCCAGTGCCACAGTAGAGTTAACAACTGACATAGGCTCATCAGGGGCTGCCACAAGCCCTTCAAAATCCCTCTTGTGGACACAATCTGGCCACAATTTACTCCAAGCAGAGTTCAAAGTCCTGGTAATCACTCCCTCCCAAGCCTTACCTATAAGGCTTATGCAATAGAGAATACTGAAGTGTTTTTTCCAAAATCTCGTAGGGTCAAGTGAGTGTCTGAGGTCACATTAAAGCACCTTTGAAACATTGCTTTGGTGTAGAGTTTTTTAAAGCTTGAAATGACCTGCTGGTCCATGGGCTGGAGGAGAGGAGTAAGAACTCTACTGTAATGAACCCAAACTCCTTCAGAATTAGGTCATCCAAGTTTGGAGGATGAGCAGGTGCATTGTCCATTACTAGGAGGCACTTGAGATCCAATTTCTTTTCCAGGAGGTAATTCTTCACACTAGGGCCAAACACTTCATTGAACCACTCGATGAAAATGTCCGTCGTGACCCATGCCTTATTATTAGATCTCCAAAACACACACAATTTACTTTTCATAACATTGTTTTTCTTGAACACTCTGGGATTTTCAGAATGGTACACTAGTAACAGCTTCACTTTGAAATCCCCACTAGCATTAGCACAGAACATGAGTATCAGCCTGTCTTTCATAGGCTTGTGTCCTGGCAGTGCCTTTTCTTCCTGAGTAATGTAGGTCCCCTTTGGCATTTTCTTCCAAAAGAGGCCTGTTTCGTCACAATTGAACACTTGTTCGGGTTTCAGTCCTTCAGCCTCTTGAATTCATGCACATATTTTTCAGCTGCTTTTTGGTCCGAACTGGCAGCCTCACCATGCCTTATCACACTGTGTATGCCAGTACGGTTCTTAAATCTCTCAAAACAGCCTTTGCTGGCCTTAAATTCACTCACATCACCACTAGTTGCAGGCAATTTCTTTACCAAATCGTCATGCAGCTGCCTAGACTATCTCCTGCTAATTGTTTCTCGTTTATCCACACCAATAATAACTTCTGAACATCTTCGAGTACTGGTGATCTCATTTTTGTCAGCATATTTACCCCTTTTGCAACAACAGCTTCCTTGATTTCCTTTTTCTTGGCTATGATGGAAGATATGGTTGTACGGGATTTGTTATACATCCTGGCCAGTTCACCCACACGTACACCACTTTCATATTGTTCAGTGATGTTTTTCTTAAATTAAATCGTATTTCTCACCTTCTTTACCAAAGGCTTGGCACTAGGAGCTTTCTTTGGAGCCATGGTAGCTTATTTAGCACTTGCAAGCACTAAAATGAATGGAATATTATGAAATATTTTGTATGAACATGTGAGGGAACCGTCGCTCACTGGTAAACAATGGCACACTGGCTGGGAAGGAAGGCCGAGGCTGCTCAGAGCGTGAGTATGTGTCCAGGACGAAAGACGATTAGCGAGTTAACGGACTATTTGCGAGCCAGTGCTTAGACGAAATAACGGGACTATTTCCGAACTGGGCGACTTTCAGGCTGGACGATTATTGAGGGACCACTGTATATTTGCTTTTCTTTGTTTATTGTTAAGTTTTAATCTTTTGCAGTATGATCAGCTTCAAGAATTGATATCCTTAAGAAAGCAGCTTACTAACCCAAGAGAGCATCTTGTTGACCTTCAGTGGAAATTTGGAGGTAAATAGTCTGTAACTTTCACATTGATTGTGCTTGCTTCTGGCCAGTTGTTACTGAACTTCAAAGTGATTCTTTGAATCTGAGAAAATTTTGCATGAGATATCAGAAGTGAATATTGTGATGTAGATGATGCATTTGTTGTTCTGTTAGTCAGATTAAGTACATGGGTATATCTATGTCCTAGGTAATAGGTTGATAGACAGCAGTTGCCCAGGAAGGTACTACCGTCCTGCCAAGTGAGTGTGAAACGGACACCTGTAATTGTTTTACATGATGGTAGGATTGCTGGTGTCTTTTTTCTCTCTCATAAACTTGAAAAGGTTTCAGGTATGTCTTGCTACTTCTGATTACATTTAGGTCACACCACACATGCATGTACAAGCATATATATACACACCCCTCTGGCCTTCCTCTTATTTTCTTACTAGTTCTTGTTCTTGTTTATTTCCACGGGGAAGTGGAACAGAATTCTTCTTCTGTAAGCCATGCGTGTCAGAGGTGACAAAAATGCTGGAAGCAAGGGCCTAGTAACCCCTTTTCCTGTATCTGTTACTAAATTTAAAAAGAGAAATTTTTGTTTTTCTTTTTGGACCACCTTGCCTATGGCTGGTTTGTTGAAAGAAGAGAAAAGTATACCTGTGTCCAAAAACTGTAGTATCAACAGTCCCACTTGAATTTATTATACTGTACAGCCTCTCCTCACCTAATGATAGGGTTCCGTTCCTAAAGAGTAGGTCGGTAAGTGAATTGGTCGTTAAGCGAGGAGCATACTGTACTGGTGGTGGGTTTATGTCGACCATCTTCAGATATTTTTTTCATGTTACCTTTGCACCATTTAGAGCATTTTTAGTATATTTTTAAATGTTTATACAGTAGTGTACGTATACTGTAATAAACAAAATAGAGGAATTCATCTCTTATATACAATACTTAGGTTTGCATACTGGTTGGAGAGCTGGTCGTAAGTCTGAGCGGTCAGTAAATGAGTATGTCGCTAAGTGAAGAGAAGCTGTATTGCATAATGTTTGATGTCTTTTCGTTAAGCATGTGTTGAGGTTTAAATATGGGAATCAGGCTCTGTCTAGGTAAGGATTCTAGCAGTGTGAGTTGATTTAAAAAAAAAAAAAAGCCATTTTGAGGATTAATTATTGATATAAACATGGAGTTAATACACACTGCACATGCATGTACACGTGCAAGTATACACACTCATCTGAGTTTTCTTCTACAGTGGTACCTCGGGATACGAACTTATTTCGTTCCAGAAGGCTGCTCGAGTGCCGATACCGAACGAATTTGTTCCCATAAGGAATAATGTAAATTAGATTAATCCATTTCAGACCCCCAAAAATGCACTTAAGAACATAAGAAAGAAGAAACACTGCAACAGGCCTACTGGCCTATGCAAGGCAGCTCCATTTCTCCCACCAACTTAAGTCAGTGCCTTGACCTAGTGAGGTCAGACACATCACTTAAGGGAGGAGCACTGCATCTGACCTAGTAGCACAAGCTAGTCAGGTCCAACTCAGACCCACCCACACCCACTCATGTATTTATCCAACCTATTTTTAAAACTACTTACAAAAGCACTTACATAAATACACATAATTGTTCAAGTTTTGAGCTGTTCGTATCCTGAGGTACCACTGTATGTATTTTTTCTTAGTAGTTCTTGTTCTTATTATTACCTTTCATCTCCACAGGGAAGTAAAATAAGAATCTTTCCTCCATAAGTCATGCGTGTTGTAAAAGCAGACTGAGAGGCCAGAAGCAATGGGCTAGTAACTTCTGTATAGACTACTTAAAATAAGAAGAAAACCTTGAAGTTCATATCTGCATGCCTCTGGCAAGTGTGGATCATGGTGAAAGTGTTTCTTTTTTGGGTTACCCTGCCTCGACAGGAGATGGCCAGCATGATAAAAAAAAAAACATGAATTGTTGTAATTGCTTATTTATTACAAATTTGTTCCATTTTATACCATTCCATTTAAATGTTTCCACCCCCCGGGAATCGAACCCGGGCCTACTGTGTGTGAAGCGGGAGCTTTAGCCACCAGGCCACCGGGCCACCTATATTCTTGTTTCATATATCTTACTGTTATACGTAATTACCTGCTGTAGTTCAGGCTTAGTGTATATGCAAATTTTAATATTACTATTTTCAGTCCCTCCTCATGTACACATTCATACACCACACTGATACATACTTATATTTTATTATAAATAAATTTATATGGTGAGCAGAATTTCATTCACATTATTATTTGGGCAGTTGTGGCTGGCAGCAGCTCAGAGGATGAAGCAGGGCGAACATTTGTGCAGGTCAAGATTGTCTCTTGTGTCCCTGATGGTGGTCTCACTTCCAGACACATTGAGATGTCTCTTCAGAAATTTTATGATTTCTTGCATCAGCTGGAGAAAGCTAAAGCTAGTTTGGAATATATGAATTACTTGTAATTCCTATACAGTATACTACTAGACAATATAAATGTGTATAAATACAGTATACCATATTTTACAGTGAACAAGACGCTCCGGTGTCTAGGACACCTCCCCCAATTCTGATTGGATAAATTTTGGAAAAAAAGATACACGATACTTTGGCCTCCAAGACACTGTGTAAATTTTCAACACTTTTGGGGAAAAAAACAGCATTTTCAACACTGTAAAATACAGTAATTTTTTATGAAATACTGTATCTGTGTATAAATTATGGAGAAAAGAAAACAATTTAAATATAATAGGAAGTAATCATAAACTGTCATTCTTATGAAGCAGAAGTTTAATAATGTGTTAATTCATTTGTATTGTGATTATGATAATTAATTTCTATTGTCATTATGATAGTTTATTTCTATTGTAATTATAATTCATTTCTATTGTATTTCCTTTCCTATTCTTACTTTAAGAAACAAGATTTGCAACATTAAAATCTGGCATCATTAAGAGATAAACCTATAAATCTTTAACATTAAAATCCTTTTTATGTCAGTAGGCTAACCAGTATTTTTATGTAACATTATTATTATTTAGAGGAAAATGCTAAACCCATAGGGGTCATATAGCATCAGTTTGATTCAAGGAAGATAACATATGAAAGTCTTTGGATCAAGAGCCACTTCATCACCATCAAGGAGCTTCCCTTAATGGAATTACTATTTTGTTATTATTATATTTATGTTTTGCCTACCAATGGACACCAATCCTTCTACCATGAAAAGGTGGCAGACACATACTAGAATGATGTAGTAATAATAATAGCATTATTATTACAGATCATCATGAAGAGTAAAACCCATATGGGTCATACAATGCGTGGGGAATAGGAAGTAATCAGGTTTAATTCAGTTGTAAATATAAAAGAAACACTACCTGTTTATAAATTCAAGTCTCTTCTCAAAGATCACTTACTCACCCAAAACCAAATAAATACTGAATAACTGAACCTTATAAATTGTATATCTTAAATGTTTCTTACAATTATATCACATAAATGTTAAACCTAAAACCCAATCTAACTTTATTATTTTTAAAATACACTAACAGAATACTCCATACGACTGAATGTACAACAATGCATGCAACCATATGACCTGTTTTTGTAATACTCATTTGTGCTTTATAGTTATCTGTTTACAATAATGTATTATCACTGATTTCATCATTGCTTAGTTAATTTTAAGCCAGCCCATAATTCTATGCATAGTATAAGTGGCTTTGGCATGCTGCTCTTATCTGTATTTTTTTGTACCTCTGTATGTATGCTCAAATTGTAAATAAATAAATAAATAAATAAATTATTTTATTATTTTATTATCACACTGGCCGATTCCCACCAAGGCAGGGTGGCCCGAAAAAGAAAAACTTTCACCATCATTCACTCCATCACTGTCTTGCCAGAAGGGTGCTTTACACTACAGTTTTTAAACTGCAACATTAACACCCCTCCTTCAGAGTGCAGGCACTGTACTTCCCATCTCCAGGACTCAAGTCCGGCCTGCCGGTTTCCCTGAATCCCTTCATAAATGTTACTTTGCTCACACTCCAACAGCACGTCAAGTATTAAAAACCATTTGTCTCCATTCACTCCTATCAAACACGCTCACGCATGCCTGCTGGAAGTCCAAGCCCCTCGCACACAAAACCTCCTTTACCCCCTCCCTCCAACCCTTCCTAGGCCGACCCTACCCCGCCTTCCTTCCACTACAGACTGATACACTCTTGAAGTCATTCTGTTTCGCTCCATTCTCTCTACATGTCCGAACCACCTCAACAACCCTTCCTCAGCCCTGTGGACAACAGTTTTGGTAATCCCCGCACCTCCTCCTAACTTCCAAACTACGAATTCTCTGCATTATATTCACACCACACATTGCCCTCAGACATGACATCTCCACTGCCTCCAGCCTTCTCCTCGCTGCAACATTCATCACCCACGCTTCACACCCATATAGAGCGTTGGTAAAACTATACTCTCATACATTCCCCTCTTTGCCTCTAAGGACAAAGTTCTTTGTCTCCACAGACTCCTAAGTGCACCACTCACTCTTTTTCCCTCATCAATTCTATGATTCACCTCATCTTTCATAGACCCATCCGCTGACACGTCCACTCCCAAATATCTGAATACGTTCACCTCCTCCATACTCTCTCCCTCCAATCTGATATACTCTTCCCTCCTTGCATCACTTCTACTTTGTAAAAACTTCTCATATGCTAACTTTTTCTCCCTTACTACTCTCTTTACATCATCATTCCACCAATCGCTCCTCTTCCCTCCTGCACCCACTTTCCTGTAACCACAAACTTCTGCTGAACACTCTAACACTACATTTTTAAACCTACCCCATACCTCTTCGACCCCATTGCCTATGCTCTCATTAGCCCATCTATCCTCCAATAGCTGTTTATATCTTACCCTAACTGCCTCCTCTTTTAGTTTATAAACCTTCACCTCTCTCTTCCCTGATGCTTCTATTCTCCTTGTATCCCATCTACCTTTTACTCTCAGTGTAGCTACAACTAGAAAGTGATCTGATATATCTGTGGCCCCTCTATAAACATGTACATCCTGAAGTCTACTCAACAGTCTTTTATCTACCAATACATAATCCAACAAACTACTGTCATTTCGCCCTACATCATATCGTGTATACTTATTTATCCTCTTTTTCTTAAAATATGTATTACCTATAACTAAACCCCTTTCTATACAAAGTTCAATCAAAGGGCTCCCATTATCATTTACACCTGGCACCCCAAACTTACCTACCACACCCTCTCTAAAAGTTTCTCCTACAGGTCCTCCATCATAATCCGGCATCATTGGGACCTGTACTGTGCCGGATTACCGAGTTTGTCGGATTACAGAGTGGTTACGTTAGAATACACTTAATAAAATTAACCAACTTGACTTGCACAAAGTTCATTGAACATCGGCAAAAATCGAACATTTTCGCTACTTTGAGTTCAATTTCAAGGTACTTTTCGTCATGAAAGCAATCAAAATCATCTCTATTTCTGTTCTGTAATATATCTTCCATTCTATCAAATGAGACCAAAAAAAACAAGAATACAACCATAAAAACCATGCGAAAATATACTGCAAAGAGGCGGCTAATGGCTGAGAAGTTAACTCCCTTATTTATCGTCCGTCTTTTTTATTTTTGTTGTACACTAAGAAGCATCTTTCCATCATACATTGCCCAAGTTTCAATGAGATAGCCCAACTGCAAAGAGGCGGCTAATGGCTGAGAAGTTAACTCCCTTATTTATCGTCCGTCTTTTTTATTTTTGTTGTACGCTAAGAAGCATCTTTCCATTATACATTGCCCAAGTTTCAATGAGATAGCCCAACAAACAACCGAGAAAAAAAAAATTTACCAAAAATCATATATGGCAAGCCCAAGCCAGGTACTGGAAATAAGTCACTTTGACTTTTTTGGGTTATCCCAGGTTCTCTATACATACGCTGCTATGTATGATAATCTATGTAACTGTATTAAATTGTGTATACCTGAATAAACTTACTTATTTACTTACTTCTAGTCTGTCAACTGAGTACAAGAAACTGCCCATTCACTTATTTCAACTACCCAATAAAGTGGTCAGAAATTGGCAGTTTGGCCAATTTCACACAAATTTCAACAGATGCCAATTTCAAAATAGGGTCCAGAATAAACAATGCAGACATTCCTGGCACTAAAATAACATTTTCTCTGTTCATTAGTCACAGCTCCAGGCCCCTCTTATATTACTCTTGCTTACCATTTGGAATTTTTATTCACAAAAAAATAGAAGATTTACTGTTATGCAGACTGCTGCATTATTGTAATAATTGTATAAATAATGTCAACCCATTCTTGATGCCGTATTGGAATTCGGACTGGCAGGCGGACAGGTATTGGACGGTGACGTCATTTGTTTACTTTTGAGCTTCGCTAAAGAATAGAACATTTTTGCTACTGTGAGTGCAATTTCAAGGTACTTTTCGTCATGAAAGCAATCAAAATTATATCTATTTCTGTAATATATCTTTCATTCTATCAAATGAGACCAAAAAAACAAGAATACAACCATAAAAACCATACAAAACTATACCGCCAAGCGGCCGCTAATGGCTGAGAAGTGAACTCCGCTATTTATGGTCTGATTTCTTTCATTTTTGGTGTACGTTAAGAAGCATCTTTCCATCATACATTGCCCAAGTTTCAATAAGATAACCCAACAAACAATTGAGAAAATAATAACAATATCTTTACTTACTACACGTACATGTACAAGGTACACAGGCCTAGCTAACATAAGTGACGTATTACTGTATAGAAAGCCGCTTGTTATGCAGAGTATTTCAAGAAAATTAGGCCAGTGTCCCAGGATAACACCCACACTAGTCGGTTAACACCCAGGTACCCAGTTACTGATGGGTGAACATAGACAACAGGTGTAAAGAAACACGCCTAATGTTTCTACCCTGGTTGGGAATCGAATATTTCCCAAAAATCATATATGGCTAACCCAAGCCAGGTACTAGAAATAAGCCACATTGACTTTTTTTGGGTTATCCTAGGTTCTCTACACATATGCTGCTATGTGTGATAATCTATATAGAGAAAATAACTTTTTTGTTTCAGGTTTATGGTGCAGTATGAGTGTATATCACAGTTAGCCCTGTGCTACACTTCGTTTTCTCTAATATAAGCCCCCAAGACAGGGATAGGAGAATGGTACATATTTGTATACCATATCCTCTTCATACCTCCGTCGAACTGCTCGGTATTATGCCAAATATTATTTATTTAGTCAAACAACTGTACTACTCCAGCAGATTCACTGACACAAGAGGAGATATAAAAAAGACCTGGAAAACACTTTCCCAGATTCTGGGGACCCACAAACTGAAAAAAAACAAGAATATTGTTCTAACTAAACCTCATGAAACACCACTGCATCCCACTGATACAGCTAACAAGATAAACGACTTCTTCTCAAACATAGGATCTAATCTCGCCAGTAAAATCCCACGTACCAATGCCCGTGCCGGGGACTACCTAGATGGGGAATTTCCCAAATTCCTTCTATCTTGTACCAACTGAGCCCACGGAAGTCACCGTGATCATAAAGTCACTTAAAAATAACTCGGGGAATGTGTCTCACGTCCCACCATTATTGTACAAGCGAGCGGCCCATGTCCTTTCGCATGGTATTACATTACTTTTTAACAAGTCACTAGAAACTAGCACTTTCCCGACACTACTCAAGACAGCAGGGGTTACACCAATACACAAAGGTGGTGACCCTACAGACATAAACAACTATAGGCCAATATCAAACTTACCATTGCTATCCAAAATCTTCGAGAAACTCGTGCACAGGAGACTATATTCATTTATAACGTCACAAAACATACTCAACCCCTGCCAATTTGGATTCAGGAAAAATAAAAGCACTAATGATGCAATTATAAAAATGCTAGACCTGCTTTACACAGCATTGGAAAATAAGGAATATCCGCTAGGAATTTTTATTGACCTAAGAAAAGCGTTTGACACAGACCACGGCATCCTACTCCACAAACTTGACCACTATGGTATAAGAGGCCATGCGCTTGCATATTTTAAATCCTACCTTTCTAATAGGTATCAGTATGTCACCATTAAAGACACAGCCTCATCAGTACGGCCACTTGATACTGGAGTTCCGCAGGGAAGTGTCCTTGGACCCCTGCTCTTCCTCATTTACATCAATGATCTTCCAAACATATCCTAACACCTGAAACCCATTCTCTTTGCTGATGACACGGCTTATGTCATCTCCCACCCTAATCTTGCCACCCTCAACACCATTGTTAACGAGGAGCAGCTCAAAATATCGACTTGGATGACAGCCATTAAACTTACACTTAACACTGGCAAAACCTACTATATTATGTTTGGTAGCAGAGCAGGTGTTGCACAGCTTAACATTAAGATCGACAACACACTAATTGCCAGACATAATGAGGGCAAATTCCTTGGCCTATACCTCGACAACAACCTAAATTTCAGCACCCATATCCAACACATATCAAAAAAGTATCCAAAACGGTGGGGATCCTCTCCAAGATACGATACTACATGCCACAAACTGCCCTTCTCACACTATACCATTCACTTATATATCCATACCTCACCTATGCTATCTGTGCTTGGGGTTCAACTGTAGCAACACACCTAAAGACAATAATAACCCAACGAAAAGCTGCAATAAGAATAATCACTAAATCCCATTCCTGGCAACACACCCCCCAGCTCTTCATAGATCTAAACTTACTCCCTGTTCAGAACATCCACACTTACTACTGTGCAATCTATATCTACATGACCTTAAATTCCAATATTAACCTTAACCTAAAATGCTTTCTTAATATTTGTGACAGGATCCACAGGCATAACACCAGACACAAACATCTCTATGACATTCCCCGTGTTCGACTAAACCTTTACAAAAATTCAATGTATTTCAAAGGACCTAAAATCTGGAACACCCTACCTCAAAACTCTAGAACTGCAGACACATTCATCACTTTCAAAACTACAGTTAGAAAACATCTTATCTCCCTGATACACCCCGACAACTAACTACATGATAACCACCTGGTGGTTCACAATTACACTCACTCACCCACTGACTATAAACCCAGAAATACTAATCTTAATCTTAAAATAATAAATCCTAACTAGTCATAAGTTTGCCTATGATACTCCAATATAGACACCTTGTATTGTGCCAAAACAAAAGCATTCACATTGCTAAACTCACAAATTATGATGGAGTCACTTAGCCTTAATACCATAATCTGTAAGATTTAATGTTAAGAATTAATCTAAGTCTGCTCGAAATGCCTAGCCATGCTAGGTGTCCTAGTGGCCCCCTCTGTAATTACTATTTTATAACATGTAAACCACACAATACCCAAAACCTGTAAACCCCGCATTGTAACCCTTATAGAGAATAAACTTGAATTGAATTGAATTGTGATAGGCAAATAAGCTGTAATGTTGATATTAGCGTAATAATAAAGCATATTCTAATGCATCATGATACTGAGCTCATGACAACCGACAGTGGCTTCAAAGCCACCTTATCTTTAATGTACAATGTACTGTGTAGGTGCTTTACATAATGCAAAGCATTTCTTTTATTCATTGGAACTATGGCTAGGGCTAAAAGTAAGCAGGTTATAACAATAAATGGAGAAAAAGAAATTGGAATGACTTATGCAGCAAGTAGCGCCACCAAACAGTACCAGCAGGTTGGTGTGGCTACCCTGGAAATTTGAAATTATGCTAGCCAAAATTAGTGCCGAATAACTGAAGGAACTGAATAACTGATTGCCGGATTTGTGATGGAGGACCTGTATTATATTTGTGGGAAACTCAGTCCACATGGGGGTCATACAGATGGGGAATAGGAAGAAGTCATGGAAGAATCAAGAGCAACTCATCTGCATCAAAGCAAGGAGGGGGGGGAGGGGATGCCTTCATATGGATGAATTGCTCTTGATACTCTTATATAACCCTTGAAGGGTATATGGTAGTTTCAGGCCTTATAAAATCTTTAGTTTTAGTTAGCACTTTGACCAGTGTTTATATAATGGGTTAACTGGGTTGTTTTTGGTAGCAGGGAGTAACGATAAGGCTTAGGAGGCTTCTTTCTTTATTTGTGATATCGTGGGTACACAGGCAGTGTGTTGGTGCCCATGGCCCCGAGGGAGAGAGGACTAGGCCTTGTGTTTACTCTGAGATGCCTGGACGTAAAGTGAGAGCGATGTAAGCGTGGCGTTTCGGAACTGTGTATGGGCCTGTAGGTGGCAGCACAAGCATGGCATGAAATATGAACTCAGCTGGCAGACAGCATAGGCTGTCTACATTTATATCAATATTTTTTCAGGCTTTTATTCAGAATTTTATAATTTTCTGTATACAAGTGTGTATAAATCTGTAGGGGAAGGAAGGCGTGGTAGGGGTCGTCCACGAAAAGGTTGGTGGGAGGGGGTAAAGGAGGTTTTGTGGGCGAGGGGCTTGGATTTCCAGCAAGCGTGCATGAGCATGTTAGATAGGAGTGAATGGAGATGAATGATATTTGAGACCTGATGAGCTGTTGGAGTGTGAGCAGGGTAATATTTAGTGAAGGGATTTAGGGAAACCGGTTATTTTATATAGCCGGACTTGAGTCCTGGAAATAGAAAGTACAATGCCTGCACTTTAAAGGAGGGGTTTGGGATATTGGCAGTTTGGAGGGATATGTTTTGTATCTTTATACATATATACTTCTAAACTGTTGTATTCTGAGCACCTTTGCAAAAACAGTGATTATGTGTCAGTGAGGTAAAAGTGTTGAATGATGAAAGTTTTTTCATTTTGGGGATTTTCTTTCTTTTTGGGTCACTGCTTCGGTGGGAGACGGCTGACTTGTTAAAAAAGTGTGTTAATTAAGTACAGTATTTTTTTAATAGCATTTTTTCCCAGTGTATCTTGATTAACTCTTAAACTGTCCAAACGTAGAACTACATTCACGTGCGTAACACTCTGATCGTATATCTACGTTTTATTTCACATGCTTTCAGCCTTGGCAGGATAAGCCTGAGTTGCCTAGACACGAGAGAATGAGTCTTTGCACTCAATGTGCACAGTATGACAAAATTCGGGGATGCCGGGAAAAATGCGCTCTTCATTTTAACCCGTAAACTGTCCAAACGTATATATACGTTCACTACCCTAGTGCCTTGAATATTTTGAAAAATAAAAAAATCTTTTTTTTTTATTGAAAGAAAGAGCACATTTTTCTAAGTGTTATAGGATAAAAAAAAAAATTAGGGTCAGTACTTACCGAGATATGAGGTTGCAAAGTTGGCACTTGGAGATCACCTGGCGGCAACATGGAGCACTGCCGCTTGCAGAAGTGTTGCCGATATATCTTTTTTTCCATTTTTCATATTTTATGTAATTTTTGTTCTGATAATTACAATTTATAGTAGTTCTTGTCATTTCATAACTAATCTTTGTTCTGACACTAGTATTAGGTACTGAAATTGTACTCACATTGTCACAAACACATTGACAGGTGGACATTTACACCTGCCTTGGTCATTTACTATTGTCTTGGAATATATACAAAGTATTTATAGGTCCCAGGAATGTTTTGGGCATGTGGAAGTATATAATAATAATGAGGAGAAGAGGAGGAGGAGAAGAATACGTAATAATAATAAAATATGAAGTTCCCTTGAAGCATGAAAAACAAAGTCCACCCATGACAGTGACGTGATAAGATGAGATAACATTTGATAAGAGCTGATGTTTGATGAGCATTTACAAGGGTGCAGTGATAAGACTTGATGAGAAAAGATTAGGGCCTGCTTTGTTTTCGCTGGTACACAAACATGTCTGTCTGTTTGTCTGTCAAGCTCTCTGTCTCAAAGAGAACCACAAAACTGGGTCATCACATTTACTCATACCTTCAAGCAGGGTATAGTACTTTGTCTGGATTTTTTGGGTTATCCTAGGTAATTTACACTATGTATACTTGTATTTATGTGTACCTGTGAGACAGAGATAGACAGACAGACAGAGACAGAGATAGACATAGATACAGACAAACAAATGGAGATAAAGCCAGGAAGCCAGTAGCCGGCCAGCTTGCCAGAATTGTTTCTCTACTTAGGGCATAGGTTATAAGACTTTCTGAAAGGGTGTTGCACAAATATTGCACATGGGTTATTATCGAGGTTTTTTTTATATTTCCTCGACCACTTTTGGCCACATCCACCTCAAAGCCACTAAACTCAGGGTCAAAATCACTTTCCTTTTTAAATGGGAGTGTTAATACTACATGACATCAGTGAATCCAAGGTGTTTGCTGCACTGTTTGCTCTAGCTAGCACTCATTATGAACTGGTGCTCCCACAAGGTACTAAGTGGTCCCAGATTTTTGAAGGCAGGAAAAATAAAATGTATATATACGTTTGGACGGTTTATGGGTTAAAAAAACAAAAAAAAAAATCCCAAAATATTCAGAGTGGTACGCATGTGAATGTTGATCTACGTTTGGACAGTTTAAGGGTTAATGTGATTATTGTAATCAGGAGAAAGTGCTAAACTCATAGTCCATGAGGCAGTCAGATTCAATTCAAGGAGAGGATAGGTCCACTTTCTTGGATCAAGATCTGCTCACTGGCATCAGTTGAGGGAATCTTGATTAATAGCTTAATTTTTTTTTTTTTTTTTTTTTTTTTTTAACAAAGCCATTTCCCACCGAGGCAGGGTGACAAACGGCCAACATGTTAAAAAAAAAAAAAATTATTGATTTAAATTTTTTAGCCTGGTGGCTGAAGCTCCCACTTCACACGGGTTCAATTCCCGGCAGATGGAAACATTCCGACATGTTTCCTTATACCTGTTGTCCTGTTCACCTAGCAGCAAATAGGTATCTGGGTGTTAGTCGACTGGTGTGAGTCGCATCCTGAGGGACAAGATTGAGGACCCCAATGGAAATAAGTTAGACAGTCCTTGATGATGCACTGACTTTCTTGGGTTATCCTGGGTGGCTAACCCTCTGGGGTTAATTTTTTTTTTTCTTTTTGTATTATTAACACACCGGCCGATTCCCACCAAGGCAGGGTGGCCCGATAAAGAAAAACTTTCACCATCATTCACTCCATCACTGGGTTAAAATCCAAACGAAATCTTATCTTAGTCAGGCATATATTTTAATGTAAACTTTTTAGCTAAAACACAATTATTATATTCATGAGAAAGCACTGAATGCATGTGGGTCATATGATGTCCCACTGGGAAGAGTGCAAGTAATAATAGAAAAATAAGAAAAATAATTTATTTACTTAATATACATAATATACAAATACAAGTGTAACTCACCAATACCTTCAATTTGATCATTTTTTATCTAAAATGTCTTGACAGTAACCAATTATCTCATTATAATTTTCAATAATTTGTGAAATGTCTAAAATGTTCCTGTAATCTGTAATAAGATTTTAATTTATACTGTACAGTCAGGGGCAGATCTACTATGAAACTAATGAAGCTTAAACTTCAGGGTCCCTAATCCTGGAGAGACCCCAGAAGAGACTTTAGTCCACATTGCTTAAAAATTTTGAGTCTACTGTATGAGAAGGGGTTTATAAAAAACATAAATAATATTACCTGGAGAGAGTTCTGGGGGTCAATGCCCCTACAGCCCGGTCTGTGACCAGGCCTCCTGGTGGATCAGAGCCTGATCAACCAGGCTGTTACTGCTGGCTGCACGCAATCCAACGTACGAGCCACAGCCCGGCTGGTCAGGTACCGACTTTAGGTGCTTGTCCAGTGCCTGCTTGAAGACAGCCAGGGGTCTATTGGTAATCCCCCTTATGTATGCTGGGGGGCAGCTGAACAGTCTCGGGCCCCTGACACTTATTGTATTGTCTCTTAACATGCTAGTGACACCCCTGCTTTTCATTGGGGGGATGTTGCATCGTCTGCTGAGTCTTTTGCTTTCATTGTGAGTGATTTTCGTGTGCAAATTCGGTACTAGTCCCTCTAGGATTTTCCAGGTGTATATAATCATGTATCTCTCCCGCCTGCATTCCAGGGAGTACAGGTTCAGGAAATTCAAGCGCTCTCAGTAATATAGTATAATTCAAATGAAAATGAAAATTAGAAGGTAATAAAACTCTTTCAGGGTCCAGAGGCCAAATCTCAAAGTGTGAGCCAGGGTTGAAGAATTTTTTCAAAAAGAAAAAAAAAAAAATAAATAAATCTTAGAGCATTAAAGATAATAATTTTCTGTAGGTAATGAAACAAACAAAAATTTCCGATCAACACAATAACCGTACTAATTTATCATATTGCTTACAAAACTTGTTTACAACATAAAACATGCAAAAATGTTGTATATTAGTAATGTTCTATTATGTATTTACATATGTGCAATCACTGGACATGTTCCTAGAACTGCTGCAGTCTGTGGAGGTCTTTGAAGCAAGGTATCATGCACAGTGGTGTCTTGCATTCCTCGCACATAAACCGAGTGTCTTTGTGCACAGACTACACATCTTTTCTGGGCCCATTTCTTCTTAGTTGCAGGAAGCTGTATTAGGAAGTAATCACCTTCCCACCTCAAATGATTGGGTAATTGGTGATCAGTTTGTGGACAGTTTTGTATAGCAGGTGTTGTGACTTGGTACTTATTAGTTGTCTGATGACAGATAAACAAAATTCATCATACAGTGGTCTGTTGCCGGTCTTTATGTGCATTAAGCATTGAAATGTCCACGAGATGGAAGAAAAGTTTCATGTACCACTTGTAACTCTTATGAACACAGTCGACAAAGCCAATCTACATGTCACATTTGTCAACCAAACGCACGTTTTGTGTATAATCAACCACTGTTGCTAGTTTTAAAATACGTTCATTAGTCACTATCCACCCTGCCACTGTCTTTCATTTCGTTATGGTGAATGGATGTCAACAACGTGACATCTCATTTGTCATGCCACCGCAATGCCATGATGTCATTGGCAGTAAACACCTACACGTCACCACTACAAGTGCTCGTGTTGAACTTGGGCATATTTTTACGATTAGAACACACTGTGCCAAACGTCTGTCACGTTCACTCGCAAGAAATCAGTGAGTAAGGGACTTGTGTACCAGTTATCAGCATATAATGTATGCCCCTTACCAAGATATGGTGCCATCATTGTTCTCACTACGTCACCTGAGATACCCAATAACATCCCGGTAACATTCAATGTTTTACTTCCCGTGTATACAATTATGTCCAATACCAGGCCACCGTCACAGTCACACAGTACAAACAGTTTTATACCAAAGAATTTCCTCTTGCTCAGTATATACTGCTTGAATGACAGTCTGCCTTTGAACAAAATCAAAGACTCATCAATTACAAGATTCTTGAATGGATAAAAGTACATGTTGAACTTTTGTTTCAGATACATAAGAACATTTCTAATCTTGTATAACCTGTCATTTCTGCCAGGCCTGGTTTTGTCAGAGAAGTGCAACATACGTAACAGTAAGACAAATCTGTTCACTGGGATTTCACTGAAGGCCGGGGTACAAATTAGACGATTTATGGACCAGTATGATTTTATATTATGCTTATAGACATGAGGCATAAGTATTATTTTTGCAAAAAACAAATACATTTCAGCCACAGTTGTCTCCTTCCACCAATGTAGTCTTGACTGCGATATCACTGTATTACTCAAGTCCGAGGCCTGGCCACGTGAAAATATTAGTTTTCTCTTGCAACGAGGTACAACTGAACGTGACAGAGGCACCAGCACCCGAGGTGGAAGGCTGAGGGTCATCAGGATTTTCAGCACTATTTTCAATATCCTGATCATGGCGTTCGGTCACAAATTGATCAAAACCATAGAATTCCTCTTCAGATCCATTTCCGTCAGTGTCAGAAGTATCACTTGGGAAGAGGAGAGTCCCAATTCGCCTCAGAGTGAGAGCTATCTTGCTGCAGGGCATGGTGAACAAAGCGTACCGAGACAGCGTTCCCATGCGGGTGCCCAGATTTTTTGTTTACTGACCACACAGACCCATTCTCTTAGATGTAGGCCTACCAGCCTTTTCGCACTAAATTTGAGGCCGCTAGAATTTTGGCGTAGTTCTATGGCTTGGACCCTGGTTTCAAAGCCATAGAACTACAGGACGGACCCTGAAAGGGTTAAAGTATCATGTAGGCTGGTTGTGAAGGGGTCCCATAGAAGTTCAACCTTCAAAGCCCCAAAAATGTAGATCTGCTACTGTGTACAGTACAACAAATTGCACAATCTATGTCAGTTAAAGTTTGATAATTTTGATGAATACCTAACAGCAAATATTTACTGTGGAGCAAATCCTGTAATGGCTTCAATTGCTGCTGCCTGGTTTCAGATAAATTCATCAACCGGTAGTCAGAGAGCTCCATGGTAAAGGTCGCTGTTCCTGATGTAAGAGTTCGCAAAGCTGTTGAGTAACCCATCAGTTCTGCTAGTGGACATTCTACTGTGATCACCTGGTAATTTAAATATTTTTAAGTTATATTGTACATAAATCTGATAATTATTAAGTCTCAAGGTAAGACAAAAACAGAGATAAAAAAAAAAGGTAGTTTTAGTTAAGCGATGAACACGGAAAAAAATGATAATTAAGTCAACTGGGTCAGGTCTTCACCCTGAGAATTCTAATTGAAAAAGAAAAAAAATGACAGTTAATACAAAAATTGACCAGATGCTATTCAGACAATATTAACACACACTTTACTGAAATACACTTAAATTTTACCCTCAAGTCTTGGCGATGTGCAACTTGCAAGACGCTTCCTCTTCTACGAGAAAGATCACCAAGGACACGTGATGTGTATTCTTCATCTGTGACTATCTCCATTTCCATGATGGGTTCAAGTAACTGGCAATGAGCTTTTTGCAAGAGCTGAAAATGATCTTAGGATTATACTCTGCTGATAAATACAAATAAAAAAATAATGCACATATGTTATACCTATATTTAAAGACTTCTATAATTGCATATGGATATAATTTATTTTAATTCATAACTTAGGTTTTCTTCAAAGAAAACATTTTAAATTATAACTATCAATGAAAGTACTAAAAAAGTGTTAATAAAAACTTTCACAGCACTATAATGCGATACTGAATCAACTTGAGAATAACACAGCCAAGCTGTAAGAATATGACTCCTGTAGGTTTAGCACTTTACCTATGATTGTAATAGCAATAATTAACCCTTTCAGGGTCGGCAGGGCCTCTCCTAAACTTGTTCTCAGGGTCGGAAATTTTTTGAAAAAAAAAAAAAAAAAAAAAAAAAAAAAAAAAAAAAAAAAAAAAAAAAAAAAAATATGAAATAGTAGAGAATCTTTTCCCGATCATAATGACACCAAAAATATGAAATTTGCTGGAAAACTTACAGCTCTCGTGAAGTTAGTGGTCTGGACGATGTTTACGTATCGGCGATTTTGCCCAATTTGAGCCCTATTTTCGGCCAATTCCAATGTACCAGTTGGCAAAAATCATACCTATTTCGCTAGAACTCCATTTTTTCTATCGAATGAGTACAAGAAACCACCCATTTACCAATTTCCACTATCCAATAACGTGGTCAGAAATTGGCAATTTCCAAATAGGGTCCAGAATAAACAAGACAGACATTTCTGGCACTAAAATAACATTTCCTCTGTTCATTACTCATGTCCCCAGGCCTCTGTTACATTTCTTTTGCTTTCCACTTTGAATTTTTATTCTCACAAAAAATAGAAGATTTATGTTATGCAAACTACTGCATTCGTGTAGAAATGGCACAGAAATGGTATAAATAATATCGGGGCACTTGTGAAATAATATCAGACTCACCAGTTGACGTGTATTGGACGCGTGGCAAGATTTGTTTGCCTTTGAACTTTGGCAAAAATCGAACATTTCTGCTACTTTGAGCTCAATTTCAAGGTACTTTTCATTGTGAAACCATTCAAAATCATCTCAATTTCCATAATGTGTCTTCCATTCTATAAAATGAGACCAGGAAAACTAGAATACAACCATAAATAGCATACGAAAATACACTGCAAAGTCGCTGTTTTAAACCAAAAACAGTCAGTTTTTTTTTTTTTTCTTATTTTGCACTGTGTGCTGCAGGATTTTTTTTATACCGCGCACACTGACCACATAGACCCAGTCTTTCATGTGTAGGCCTACCAGCTTTCTCTCGCTAGATTTGAAGGTGCTAGAATTTATGCGTACTAGTATGGCACCAACCCTGGTGTGCAAGCCGTGCTAGTATGGCATCAACCCTGAAAGGGTTAAAGATATGAACTGAGGTGAAGAGAACTCATATTTTAAGATTAACGGAGCTCATGAAGATAATGGAAACGCTAACATGTACTCATTTTGGAGCAGGAAACCCTTAGCATTTGACCATCGCCAGGAAGTATAAAAAAACAGTTGATGGCCAAATTGGTGCACATTTAATACTGATTCAGCAGGAATCACACTCATTACCTTATTAATGTGAAACATCTGTAGAGATCCTGCATAAAAAAAATTATACACTAAATTTTACTTATTTTAACATACTGTAAAAAAGTTCATAATACGAAATGAGCATTAAAAATGAATTAATGTTTAACATTGGTCAGCTCCCACCAAGGTGGTGACCCAAAAACGGAACACATTCACCATCATTCATTCAACAGCTATCTTGCCATGAATGCACAACATCACAACTGACTGAACTGCAACATCGCCCCTCCTTCAGAGTGCAGGCACTATACAGTGGACCTCCGGTATACAATATTAATCCGTTCCTGAGAGCTCATCGTATGCCAAAATTATGGGAAGGCGAATTAATTTTCCCCATAAGAAATAATGGAAATCAAATTAATCCGTGCAAGACACCCAAAAGTATGAAAAAAAAAAATTTTACCACATGAAATATTAAGTTCAATGCACACAAACTGAAGAAGACATGCACAGTTTGTAGTACTCTACTAACAATAGAATACATACACTTACCTTTAATGAAGATCTGGTGATGATTGATGGGATGGGAGGAGGGGAGAGTGTCGAAGTTGTTAATGTTTAGAAGGGGAATCCCCTTCCATTAGGACTTGAGGTAACAAGTTCTTTTCCGGGGTTACTTCCCTTCTTCTTTTAATGCCACTAGGACCAGCTTGAGTCACTGGACCTCTGTCGCACAACAAATCTGTCCATAGAGGTCTGTGCCTCCCGTTCCTTTAAGATTTGTCTAAAATGGGCCATAACATTGTCATTGTAATACTCACCAGCACAGCTTGCAATAGCTGTGTTAGGGTGATTTTCATCCATAAAGGTTTGCAGTTAAACCCACTTTGCACACATTTCCTTAATTTTTGAAGTAGGCACAATGGATTCCACAATTGGCATAGGCTTCTCAGGGTTAGCCCCAAAACCCTTCAAAATCTTTCTTAATTTCCATACTAATTCTCACCCTTTTTACCACAGGGTTGGTGCTAGAAGCTTTCTTGGGGCCCATGGTGACTTATTTTGCAGAAACAAGCACCAAAAACACTGTGATAATATGGAATGTACCAAATGTATGCTTAGATGCGAGCACACTGGCTGGCTTGTAAACACTGGCACGCACGGGGCAGTTCAGGCCACATGTGGACGCGTCCCAGACGAATCGCATGTGGCGGGTTTTTTAACGAGTGGTGAGGCAAAATTTTTGCATTAAAATGTATCGTATACCGGATTTAACGTATACCGATGCCATCGTATACCTGGGGTCCACTGTACTTCTCATCTCCTGGTCTCAAGTCATTTTCTTTTGCAAACCTGGCCATATATTCAATTATTATTTATCTGCTATACTTAATTCCGTCACATTCAAACAAGGCTTTTGAAATATACCAGACTTATATTACTTATTTTAGTGCTTAGTTTTGATAATAATAATAATAATAATAATATATTATTCAACTAATTACACTTTTCATTTCCTATGCACTTGAAATGCTAAAATGTTTTTTGGTATAATTTACATTTCCCTAATTAAAAAATTTTAGAAATTTTACCCTTTCACTAGTACACTACTTCCCCATAACCAAAAGACTAACATGACAATAAATTCTCGGGAATTTAGTGTAGAAGACATTATGGTACTGTACTGTTTATTTTCTAATTATAGCATATTAAGCCATTTAAGCACTGTAGAGACCTACAACTACAGTTTTCCAACCTGATGGATGCACTGAGCAGCTGCAGCAGCAACTATGGTTTCTGATGTTCCACGGCCAACTTCCAACCAGTTTAAGGCAACTTTTATGTCAACGACTGGGAAACCTAGAATGGGTCCACTGGTCAAAGCAGAACTCACACCCCGGTTTAAGGCTGACATGTGGTGATGGCGTATAGCATGAAGATTCTGATTTAAGAGAGTTGAAAGTAATATATACACTGATTATGCATACAAAATCAAAAAAATGAAATATTAAATTTGCTAAGGTTTAATGAAATGAAGTTGACCAATAAAAGAAATCATTCAATAAACTAGCTGTATCCCACCAAGGCAGGGTGGTCCAAAAGGAAAAACGAAAGTTTCTCCTCGGTGGGAGATGGCCGACTTGTTGAAAAAAAAAAAATACAGAAGGGGTTACTAGCCCCTTGATCCCGGCATTTTAATCGCCTCTTACGACATGCATGGCTTATGGAGGAGGAATAATAAAAGAAATAACTTAGGAAAATTTAAATAAATCATAATCTGAGCTACAACAGTACAAATGTAGAGCAACAATAAAATTAAATATGCCATATTAGTAATATAAAATTTAAAAGCTTAAACTTACTTCTAGATTGTCTTTAGAGAATGCCAACTCAAGTGAGCTGAACCTGTAGTTACATTCAGGCTCAATGGAGAGTGTTAATTTCACTTGTTGTCTCATCTCACCTGATTAGGAAGACAAAAACTATCATGAATATTTGTTGGCAAGAGGTATGAAAGATGAGGTGAATCATAGAATTGATGAGGGGAAAAGGGTGAGTGGTGCACTTAGGAGTCTGTGGAGACAAAGAACTTTGTCTTTGGAGGCAAAGAGGAGAATGTATGAGAGTATAGTTTTACCAACGCTCTTATATGGGTGTGAAGCATGGGTGATGAATGTTGCAGCGAGGAGAAGGCTGGAGGCAGTGGAGATGTCATGTCTGAGAGCAATGTGTGGTGTGAATATAATGCAGAGAATTCGTAGTTTGGAAGTTAGGAGGAGGTGCGGGATTACCAAAACTGTTTTCCAGAGGGCTGAGGAAGGGTTGTTGAGGTGGTTCGGACATGTGGAGAGAATGGAGCGAAACAAAATAACTTCAAGAGTGTATCAGTCTGTAGTGGAAGGAAGGCGGGTTAGGGGTCGGCCTAGGAAAGGTTGGAGGGAGGGGGTAAAGGAGGTTTTGTGTGCGAGGGGCTTGGACTTCCAGCAGGCATGCGTGAGCGTGTTTGATAGGAGTGAATGGAGACAAATGGTTTTTAATACTTGACGTGCTGTTGGAGTGTGAGCAAAGTAACATTTATGAAGGGGTTCAGGGAAACCGGCAGGCCGGACTTGAGTCCTGGAGATGGAAGTACAGTGCCTGCACTCTGAAGGAGGGGTGTTAATGTTGCAGTTTAAAAACTGTAGTGTAAAGCACCCTTCTGGCAAGACAGTGATGGAGTGAATGATGGTGAAAGTTTTTCTTTTTCGGGCCACCCTGCCTTGGTGGGAATCGGCCAGTGTGATAATAATAAAAAAAAAAAAAAGAGGTATGGGGTTAAAAGATAAAGAATCTAACACAAAGTGGGAATTGTCACAGTTGCTCTTTGTGCTGATGACACTGCTTTTAGGGGATTCTGAAGAGAAGTTGCAGAGGTTAGTTGATGAGTTTGGTAGGGTCTGTAAAAGAAGGAAATTAAAAGTGAATGTAGGAAAGAGTAAGGTGATGAGGATAACCAAAAATATAGGTAACAGAAGATTGGATATCAGATTGGAGGGAGAGAGTATGGAGGAGGTGAATGTATTCAGATATTTGGGAGTGGACATGTCAGCAGATGGGTCTACGAAGCATAAGGTGAATCATAGAATCGATGAGAGGAAAAAGGCGAGTGGTGCCCTGAGGAGTCTGTGGAGACAAACAACTTTGTCCATGAAAGCAAAGAGGGGAATGTACGAGAGTATAGTTATACCAACACTCTTGTATGGGTGTGAGGCATGGGTGGTGAATGTTGCAACAAGGAGAAGGCTGGAGGCAATGGAGATGTCATGTCTGAGGGCAATGTGGTGTGAATATAATGCAGAGAATCCATAGTTTGGAGATTGGGAGAAGGTGCGGGATTACCAAAACTATTATCCAGAGGGCTGAGGAGGGGTTATTGAGATGGTTTGGACATGTAGAGAGGATGGAACAATATAGAATAACCGAGAGTGTATAAATCTGTAGTGGAGGGAAGGCAGCGTAGGGTTTGGCCTAGGAAATGTTGGAGGGAGGGGGTAAAGGAGGTTTTGTGCACAAGGGGCTTGGACTTCCAGCAAGCGTGCGTGAATGTGTTAGATAGGAGCAAATAAAGACAAATGGTTTTTAGGACTTGACATGCTGCTGGAGTGTAAGCAAGTTAACATTTATGAAGGGATTCAGGGAAACTGGCAGGCCGGACTTGATTCTTGGAGATGGGAAGTACAGTGCCAATACTCTGAAGGAGGGGTGTTAGTGTTGCAGTTTTATAACTGTAGTGTAAGGATGCCTCTGGCAAGACAGTGATGGAGTGAATGATGATGAAAGTTTTTCTTTTTTGGGCCACCTTCCCTTGGTGGGAGACGTCCAATGTGTTAAAAATAAAAAAAAAAATACAGTACACTTTATATTGAAACAAAAATCACTGCAAGTTTTAAAATAATAGTGCTCCTAAAAATTGGTAAAAATCTTTCTATGTATGGGTGAATATGTAGTAAATGCTTCTGGTCTTATTAAAAATGACTTTTATCATTATTTTATTATTAACACATCGGCCATTTCCCACCAAGGCAGGGTGGCCTGAAAAAGAAAAACTTTCATCATCATTCAGTCCATCACTGTCTTGCCAGAGGCATGATTACACTAGTTATAAAACTGGAACATTAACACCCCCCTTCAGCGTGCAGACACTGTACTTCCCATCTCCAGGACACAATTCCAGCCTCCCGGTTTCCCTGAATCCCTTCATAAATGTTACCTTGACACATTCCAACAACACGTCAAGTCCTAAAAATCATTTGTCTCCATTCACTCCTATGAAATACGCTCACACATATTTGCTGGAAGTCCAAGCCCCTCGTGCACAAAACCTTTACCCTCTCCCTCCAACATTTCTTAGGCCAACCCCTACCCTGCCTTCCCTCCACTACAGATTTATACACTCTCAAAATCATTCTATTTTGTTCCATCCTCTCCACAGGTCCAAACCACCTCAACAACCTCTCCACAACCCTCTAGATAATAGTTTTGGTAATCCTGCACCTCCTCCTAATTTCCAAACTACGAATTCTCTGCATTTTATTCACACCACACATTGCCCTTAGACACGACATCTCCACTGACTCCAGTCTTCTCCTTGTTGCAACATTCACCACTCGTGCTTCACACCCATATAAGAGTGTTGGTATAACTATACTCTCATACATTCCCCTCTTTGCTTCCACAGACAAAGTTTTTTGTCTCCACAGACTCCCAAGTGCACCATTCACCTTTTTCCCCTCATCAATTCTGATTCACCTCATCCTTCATAGACCCATCTGCTGACACGTCCACTCCTAAATATCTGAATATATTCACCTCCTCCATACTCTCTCCCTCCAATCTGATATCCAGTCTTTCATCACCTAATTTTTTATCCTCATTGCCTTACTCTTTCCTATATTCACTTTTAGTTTTCTTCTTTTATATACAGTAGGGCCCCACTTATATGTTCCAGGCTACTGCTGGAAAGCAGACGTCGCTGGAAAGCAGAATGACATTTTTTCCACTTATAAACGCATATAAATGCCAGATAACAACTTTACACTAACATATATTAAGTTAGCAATAGAACTAGGCATTAAAAACAATAAAAAGTAAAATACACACACAGTACATTCATTATTTACCTCAAAATATTTTAGTCTTAATGAAGAGCAAAAGGTGAGCAGTATTTACTGTAAGAGGTCAGGTGTGGTAGCCCTCCTGGGCACCTCACCCATAATATACTATGATGATGCTTAAAGCTCCCTAGAGTGATAAAATGCATATACAGTACACTCATTACTTACCTAAAATATTTATAGTCTTAATGTAGGGTAAAAGGTGAAGAGTATTTATTTGTAGAAAGTCGTGTGGCAGGTAGGGTAGTGTAGGGAAGCCAGCCTGGCCACCCCACCCACTATGTAAACAAACTGATGAAGCATCTGGTTATGGTTCATAAACATTCATACAAACACCTTACATTGTGTACAAGTTGTCTCCACAGTGGTACAGTAGAATAAATAAAGACCAACACTTCCATTCTCATGTAATTTTTAGAAGGAATGATGCTCTGACAAATTATCATTATTATTATTATTACAAATAATTATTATTACAAATTATTATTATAATCATAATAAGAAAGAAGAGCTAAACCCACAAGAGTTGTGCACTGCTATATATAGAGTGAAGGCATATGAAAGGAATATTTATCTACAGTTATCCCCCCAGTGTTTGACTAGAGAAAATGTAATTCTTCCGACACTCCTACAAATCCGATTTTAAACAAATCTCGTATTTATGTCAATTTTTATTCTTTGGGTGTATGTATAATGTTTATATGCAATGTAATGTGTTTCTTATATATTTTTGAGGAAAATATCATTGATGGATTGATGAAAATGCCTATATTAACGTAAAATAAGACATTTAATGTGCCCAAGAGAGATTATTATTACGTAGTATTACTATAGTGTCATGAGTAGAGAGACACTTAGCGATTTTAATGTATACCTGCACACAGCACAGTGTGTGTATATTCAGGTACAGGTACACATAAGTATAATTATCAGAGTACATAAAAAATATGCAATAATTTTAAAACACTTGAAATTTTGGAAAGTTTCCAGACATAATACATGTGCTCATGGAGAATGTAAACAAAACAGGTGGGGCATACCATATTTGAAAGACCACTTGCCGTATAGCAAATTTTGGTTATAATTTGAAGTCACCGTATTAGTGGAATGCCGTAAAGCGAATTGCCATAAAGAGGGGCCCTACTGAACTCGACCAAAGTCATCCAGCAACCTCTGCAACTTCTCTTCAGAATCTCCCAAAACCACAGTGTCATCAGCAAAGAGCAACTGTGACAAATCACACTTTGTGTTAGATTCTTTACCTTTTAACCCCACACCTCTTGCCAACTCCTGCATATTCCCTTCTCTTACAACTCCATCTATAAATACATGTATAGTAAACAACCATGGTGACATCACTCATCCTTGTCTAAGGCCTACTTTTACTGGGAAATAATCTCCCTCTCTCCAACATACTCTAACCTGAGCCTCACTATTCTCGTAAAAACTCTGCTTTCAGCAGCCTACCTCCTATTCCATACACCTGCAACATCTGCCACATTGCCCCCTTATCCACCCTGTCATATGCCTTTTCCAAATACATAAATGCCAAAAAAAACCTCTTTACCCTTACCTAAATACTGTTCACCTATATGTTTCAGTGTAAATACTTGGTCTATACACCCACTTTCCCTAAAGCCTTGTTCATCTGCTGTCCTACTCTCCATCTTACTCTTAATTCTTTCAATAATAACTCTACCATACACTTTACCAGGTATACTCAACAGACTTCTTCCCCTATAATTTTTGCACTCTCCTTTGTCCCCTCTGCCTTTATACAAAGGAACCATGCATGATCTCTGCCAATCCCTATGTACCTTACCCTCTTCCATACATTTATTAAATAACAGCACCAACCACTCCAAAATTATATCCCCACCCACTTTTAACATTTCTATCTTTATTCCATCAATCCCAACTCCCTTACCCCCTTTCATTCTACCTACTGCCTCACAAACTTCCCCCACACTCACAACTGGCTCTTCCTCATTCCTACAAGATGTTATTCCTCCTTGCCCTATACACGAAATCACAGCTTCCTTATTTTCATCAACATTTAACAATTCCTCAAAATATTCCCTCCATCTTCCTGATACTGCTAACTCTCCATTTAATGACTCTCCTTTCCTATTTTTAAATGTCAAATCCTCAACTTATTAATCTCATTCCAAAACATTTTCTTATTTTCAACAAAATTTGTTGATAACATATCACCCACTCTATCATTTGGTCTTTCTACATTGCTTCACCACTCTACTAACCTCTATTTTTCTCCATATACTCTTCCCTCCTTGCATCACTTCTACTTTGTAAAAACCTCTCACATGCTAACTACTTCTCCTTAATCCTTGATATTCTTAAAAAAATGTAATATTTACATCAATTTTTAGATAAATCTCTAGCCCTGAAACAATCCCCATGCTTACTTATCATCTTGTTAACATCAAGAGTGTGAGTACAGGACATTCTGGATGTTTCTCTGTAAGCCACTTGTAATGGGCCCAATTCTGCCTCCACCTTAAATTCTTTCTGGATACGATCTCGAATGATGTCAAGATGAAGCTCTCCCATACCTTGAAAATGTAAATAAAGGAATCAGATATTAGTAGGTCTAATATTCATATCTGATTATTTATAAATATTTTTGGAGCACATTTTCACACCCACCTTTGTCCACCATAAAATAATTATTTACTTTAGTTTTCATGTATATATTGATGGTATTATTTCCCAACAAATATACTAACAAGACGCAATATGCATTTTATGGCATTTTATTGATTAGATATTTTATCCACTTGGGACTTTATCTTCAAGAATTGATAAATTCCTCGTGGACAAAATGTTATCACTGCATATTGTAGCTTATTTTTTCAGCTCACCAGAGAGAACAGTTTGTCCAGTATCTTGGTCAACTTTTACTTTTAAGCTGGGGTCTTCCCTCTGTAGCTGTATGAGAGCTGCATCTAAGGCCTTTTGCTGTGATGTGGAAGGTGCCTCTGAGGGGAAAAATTTGTCTTATTAATACGAAATGATGAACATGTTAAAATATAAAAATAAATAACAATATAGTAGGTTGGTAGACAGCAACCACCCAGGGAGGTACTACCGTCCTGCCAGGTGACTGTGAAACAGAAACCTGTAACTGTTTTACACGATGGTAGGATTGCTGGTGTCTTTTTTCTGTCTAATAAACACACTGGATAACAGGTATATCTTGCTACTTCTACTTACACTTAGGTCACACTACACAGGCATGCACATGCATATATATACAGTGGACCCCCGCATAACGATTACCTCCGAATGCGGCCAATTATGTAAGTGTATTTATGTAAGTGCGTTTGTACGTGTATGTTTGGGGGTCTGAAATGGACTAATCTACTTCACAATATTCCTTATGGGAACAAATTCGGTCAGTACTGGCACCTGAACATACTTCTGGAGTGAAAAAATATCGTTAACTGGGGGTCCACTGTACATACACACATCTAGGGTTTTTCTTCTTTTTCTTAATAGCTCTTGTTCTCTCTATTTCCTCTATTGTCCATGGGGAAGTAAAAAAGAATCTTTCCTCCGTAAGCCATGCATGTCGTATGAGGCGATTAAAATGCCGGGAGCAATGGGCTAGTAACCCCCTTCTCCTGTACACATTTACTAAAAATGAAAAGAAGAAAAACTATAAAAAACTGGGATGCTTCAATGTGCGTGGATGTAGTGCAGATGATATGAGAGAGATGATTGCTGATGCTATGAATGAAAAGAAGCTGGATGTCCTGGCCCTAAGCGAAACAAAGCTGAAGGGGGTAGGCGAGTTTCAGTGGGGAGAAATAAATGGGATTACATCAGGAGTATCTGAGAGAGTTAGAGCTAAGGAAGGGGTAGCAATAATGTTGAAGGACCAGTTATGGAAGGAGAAGAGGGAATATAAGTGTGTAAATTCAAGGATTGCGTGGATTAAAATAAGGGTCGGATGTGAAAAGTGGGTCATAATAAGTGTGTATGCACCTGGAGAAGAGAGGGGTGTAGAGGAGAGAGAGAGATTTTGGAAGATGTTAAGCAAATGTATAGGAAACTTTGAACCAAGTGAGAGAGTAATTGTGGTAGGGGGCCTAAATGCTAAAGTAGGAGAGGGTGTGGTAGGTAAGTTTGGGGTGCCAGGTGTAAATAATAATGGGAGCCCTTTGATTGAACTTTGTATAGAAAGGGGTTTAGTTATAGGTAATATGTATTTTAAGAAAAATAGGATAAATAAGTATACAAGATAAGATGTAGGGTGTAATGACAGTAGTTTGTTGGACTATGTATTGGTAGATAAAAGACTGTTGAGTAGACTTCAGGATGTACATGTTTATAGAGGGGCCGCGGATGTATCAGATCACTTTCGAGTTGTATCTACCGTGAGAGTAAAAGGTAGATGGGATACAAGGAAAACAGAAGCAGCAAGAGAGAGGTGAAGGTGTATAAACTAAAAGAGGAGGCACTTAGGTTAAGATATAAACAACTACTGGAGGATATATGGGCTAGTGAGAGTATAGGCAATGGGGTCGAAGATATATGGGGTAGGTTTAACCTGTAAACGGTCCAAACATATATACGTTCACTACCCCAGTGCCCCGAATATTTTTGAAAAATAAAAAAATCTTATTTTTTTTACTGAAAAAAAAGAGCACATTTTTCTAAGTGTTATTGGACAAAAAAAAAATTAGGGTCAGTACTTACTGAGATATGAGGCCGCAAAGTTGGCACTTGGAGATCACCTGGCGGCAACATGGGGTGCTGCCGCTGGCAGAAGTGTTGCCAATATATCTTTCTTTTTTAATTTTTCATATTATTTTATATAATTTTTATGTTCTGATAATTACAGTTTATGTAGGTAGTAGGTTGGTAGACAGCAACCGCCCAGGGAGGTACTACCGTCCTGCCAAGTGAGTGTAAAACGGAATCCTGTAATTGTTTTACATGATGGTAGGATTGCTGGTGTCTTTTGTCTGTCTCATAAACATGCAAGATTTGAGGTATGTCTTGCTACTTCTACTTACACTTAGGTCACACTACACATACATGTACAAGCATATATATACACACCCCTCTGGGTTTTCTTCTATTTTCTTTCTAGTTCTTGTTCTTTTTTATTTCCTCTTATCTCCATGGGAAAGCGGAATAGAATTCTTCCTCCGTAAGCCATGCGTGTTGTAAGAGGCGACTAAAATGCCGGGAGCAAGGACCTAGTAACCCCTTCTCCTGTATAAATTACTAAATTTAAAAAGAGAAACTTTCATTTTTCTTTTTGGGATACGGCCGGTTTCTTGGAGAAAAAAAAAAATTTACAATTTAGTAGTTCTTGTCATTTCATAACTAATCTTTGTTCTGACACTAGTATTAGGTACTGAAATTGTACTCACATTGTCACAAACACATTGACAGGTGGACATTTACACCTGCCTTGGCCATTTACCATTGTCTTTGAATATATACAAAGTATTTATAGGTCCCAGTGATGTTTTGGATAAATAACAAAAAAGGCACAATACCGTGACTGGAACAATACACAAATAACCCGCACATAAAAGAGAGAAGCTTACGACGACGTTTCGGTCTGACTTGGCCATTCACAAAGTCACACTGTGACTTTGTAAATGGTCCAAGTCGGACCGAAACGTCGTCGTAAGCTTCTCTCTTTTATGTGCGGGTTATTTGTGTATGTTTTGGATATGTGGTGGTGGGTGGTTGGTAGTGGTGGATGATGATGATGGATGAATAATGATGAATGATGATGGATGATGAATGATGAATGATGATGGATGATGAATGATGAATGATGATGAATGATGATGAATGATGATGAATGATGACGAATGATGATGAATGATGATGAATGATGAATGATGATGAATGATGATGGATGATGAATGATGATGGATGATGAATGATGATGGATGAATGATGATGGATGATTAATGAATGAATGAATGAATGAATAAAGCGGCGGCGGCGGCAGTGGCGGTGGCGGTGGCGGCGGCGGCGGTGGTGGCGGCGGTGGTGGTGATTGTGATTTCTCTTGAAGCATGAAAAACAAAGTCCACCCCTGACAGTGATGTGATAAGATGACATAACATTTGACAAGAGCTTACGTTTGATGATGAGCATTTACAAGGGTGCAGTGATAAGACTTGATAAGAAAAGATTAGGGCCTGCTTTGTTTTTCCTGGTACACAAACGTGTACCATTTGTGCTATTTGTCTGTCAAGCTCCCTGTCTACAGCTGGCTGCCACGCAGCTGGCCAGCCATCTAGCCAGCCAGCTAGCCAGCCAATCAACCAGTCAGGCAGCCAGCCTGCCACCAGCCAGAACTATTTCTCTTTACTTGTGCATAGGTTATAAGACATTCTGAAAGGGTGTTGCACAAATATTGAACATGGGTTATTTTCGAGGTTTTTTGATATTTCCTCAACCACTTGTGGCCACATCCACCTCAAAGCCACTAAACTCAAAATCACTTTCCTCTTAAAATAGGAGTGTTAATACTACATGACATCAGTGAATCACAGGTGTTTGCTGCGCTGTTTCCTTTAGCTGGCGCTCATTTGAACTGGTGCTCCCACAAGGTACTAAGTGGTCCCAGATGTTTTTAATACCGCACAAACTGAGTGTTAGAACCCATTCTATGCTGACAAGGCATCTCAGGCCAATCGTGCCAAATTTGAAGGCAGGAAAAATAAAACATATATATACTTTTGGGGCACTAGCGGAAAAAACGTACATATACGCTTGGACCGCTTATGGGTTAAGAATGTAGTGTTAGTGTTCAGCAGGAGTTTGTGGTTACAAAAAAGTGGGTGCAGGATTGAAGAAGAGCAATTGGTGGAATGATGATGTTAAGAGAGTAGTAAAGGAGAAAAAGTTAGCATATGAGAGGTTTTTACAAAGTAGAAGTGATGCAAGCAGGGAAGAGTATATGGAGAGAAAAAGAGAGGTTAAGAGAGTGGTGAAGCAATGTAAAAAGAGCAAATGAGAGAGTGGGTGAGATGTTTATCAACAAATTTTGTTGAAAATAAGAAAAAGTTTTGTAGCGAAATTAATAATTGAGGAAGCCTAGGGAACAAATGGATTTGAGACTTAAAAATAGGAAAAGAGAGTTATTAAATGAAGAGTTAGAGGTATTGGGAAGATGGAGAGAATATTCTGAGGAATTGTTAAATGTTGATGAAGATAGGGAAGCTGTGATTTCGTGTATAGGGCAAGGAGGAATAACATCTTGTAGGAGTGAGGAAGAGCCAGTTGTGAGTGTGGGGGAAGTTCATGAGGCAGTGGGTAGAATGAAAGGGGGTAAGGCAGCTGGGATTGATGGAATAAAGATAGAAATGTTAAAAGCAGGAGGGGATATAGTTTTGGAGTAGTTGGTGCTATTATTTAATAAATGTATGGAAGAGGGTAAGATACCTAGGGATTGGCAGAAAGCATGCATAGTTCCTTTGTATAAAGGCAAAGGGGATAAAAGAGAGTGCAAAAATTATAGGGGAATAAGTCTGCTGAGTAGGAGCAAGGGGCTAGTAACCCCTTCTCCTGTATGCATTACTAAATGTAAAAGGAGAAACTTTTGTTTTTCCTTTTTAGGCCACCTCATCTCAGTGGGATACAGCCAGCGAGTTGAAAGAAAGAAGAAGTCTGTTGAGTATACCTGGTAAAGTGCATGGTAGAGTTATTATTGAAAGAATTAAGAAGGTAAGGTAGGGGGTGTGTAGACCAAGTGTTTACAGTGAAACATATAGGTGAACAGTATTTAGATAAGGGTAAAGAGGTTTTTGTGGCATTTATGGATTTGGAAAAGGCATATGAGGCATATGGTTTCTTTTTCTGTCTCATAAACACGCTAGATAACAGGGATATCTTGCTACTCCTACTTACACTTTGGTCACACTTCACAGACACGCACATGCATATACAGTAGACCCCCGCATAGCGAACGCCTTGCATAGCGAACAATCCGCATAGCGAA